GGTTTGCATTCCATTGTGTTTGATCAAGTGAGCTCTGGCTCACAAAAACTTATTCTGGAAGAAATTTTGTTAGTCTTCAAAGTGCCACTGGACTCCTGTTTTAATTCACGGCTGAAAGAAACCGTAGGCAACTCGAGCCTTGGTGGTCTAGCCTCATTGGCATGACTTGGTCACTGGTTTCATTTGTGGGGAGTATACAAGAGGACTTACTTATCCTTCGTCAGTGGAAGCAATGGTTAGATGCCAGTTAGAGGTTATGGTCTTTATCCAGCAGGTTGTCTCAATCAACCCTAAAGGAAGAAGACTGCATTTCTGTGGAGAACAATGGTGTTCTGCCACAAGATCTGCCCATGGAATGTTCTGTCAGTACATGCCTCTTAACAAATTGCTTGGCTTTAAAGCTGTAATTACTGTAATAGAGCGAATTGCTGTCTAGAGAAACCATAAAACATTTCCATCTGCCTGCCATGGTCCTGAAGGGAAGATCATTGCAGCAGACAGCGAGGGCAGCAAAGACTCTTACAGAGTCTGAAATCCGACTTAGCGCAATGAGGAAGAGACAGAACTCATCAGTGCCCGTTACAGAGTTGGCATCAGGTTTCCAAAGACCCGCCAATAATGCAGGGTCCTAGGAAGGCACTTGACTGGTTTAATGAAGCTTTATTTCAGGAAAATAAACCGAGGTGCTAGTTTCTTCTACATGGAATTCACTGCCACAGGAGGTGGCGGCGGCTACAAGCATGGACAGCTTCAAGAGGGCATTAGATAAGCATATGGAGCAGAAGTCCATCAGTGGCTATTAGCCACAAGGTATAGATAGGAACTCTCAGTCTGGGGCAAGGGATGCTCTGTATTCATGGTACCGGGGGGGGGGGACAGGGGGAGGACTTCTAGTGTCCTGGCCCCACTGGTGGACCTCCTGATGGCATCTGGTATTTTCTGGCCACTGTGTGACAGAGTGTTGGACTGGATCGGCCATTGGCCTGATCCAACATTGGCTTCTCTTATGTTCTTATGAGGGAATGTATCAGGATGCCTAGAAGTACTGTGCTGATTTTTACATTTATGTTTCACTGGGGAGGAGGAATTATGACACAACTGACAAATTTTCTGAATGCATTATGTTAGGCTAATTCTTAAAATAGTTAAAGACCAATGATTGGGAACAGGTACATCTAGGCATTCTATACACTGGGACCGAATACTCCCATCCATTTATGTAATTAACAAGACAACCTTCCAAGAGATTTGGAACTGATCTACTTTCAAGCCCAGAGCAACCCACTAGAGGGAATACCCAGAGCTGAGCTTGTATTATATAAGAGCAGAACATGTGAAGAAAGTTGGTTGGCTGATGGATGGGTACCTTACAATGGTCTTGTGTTTCCTCTTTGATTCACATTATAAAATCTGCCTCAAGCACCCTGGCTGATTTAGAACCAAGCAGGGAGGAAATTTAAAAGGCTGGATGTTGTTCAAGGGGCTCCTTAATCATAAGTTTTGTCAGTCCAAATAAGTTACCTGGATAGTCCAAAAAGTCGCACATGATACTGTGACAACATGGAAGTTTGCACATCCCAGTGCACCTGCAGGATAAATCTACCCTTTCTTCAAACGAACATTTTGAAGCATTATTCCTTCTTGTCAGAATGGAAGGCTGTTTCGATATGCAGACATTTTGCAGATTGGGTCAAATTCAGGATGGCTCCTTACTTACAGTGTCCAATATCCTATTAAACAAAATGTATTTACATAGTCCTCCTATCACATGGGCTCCAGACTCATTCTCATGACTGAACACAATGCAGATCATGCGTACCTTTCTCTCCAAGACTCTACCAGAACTGACAATTAGAACCTGTCCTCAGTGCCATAACCAGTTCCTGGAAATGTCAGAGAACTTCTGACCATGTCGGGGATCTCTCACCACCAGTTTGGTGTAGTGGTTAAGTGCACGGACTCTAATCTGGGAGAACCGGATTTGATTCCCCACTCCTCCACTTGCACCTGGCTGGATGACCTTGGGCAAGCCATAGTTCTGTCAGAGCAGTTCTTGAAAAAGAGCAGTTTCTCTCAGAGCTCTCTCAGCCCCACCTACCTCACAAGGGTGTCTGTTGTGGGGAGGGGAAGGGAAAGGAGTTTGTAAGCCGCTCTGAGACTCCTTTGGGTAGTGAAGGGCGGGGTATAAATCCAATCTCTTATTCTCTTCTTCTCCTCCTCCTCCTCCTCCTCCTCCTCCATGTGATCACAATGAGGTGCCAAGGAGCTGGAACCAGGGAGAACTTTCTCCATATTTGGGAGCTTATGGTACCATCCAGATGGGCTTGAAATCACACTATTTATTTAATTCACAAACTGTCCCTCAAACAGACCCACAAGAAAGTCGGACAGGACTCTAGCAGCAAAATATGGGCTGGGAAAATTAATTAATTAACTTCGTTTATACCCCACCTTTCTCCACTGTTGGGACCCAAAGTGGATAACGTTGTTTCCCTTTCTGCCATTTTATTTTCACAAAAACCCTGTAAGGTGTGTTAGGCTGAGAGTGTATGGCTGGCCACCTAGTAAGCTTCCATGGCAGAGTCTCCTAGATCCTAGTCTAACCACTGCAGCACAGCAGCTCTCAAGATGTCCCCATTATGTGGGAGGGAGTTGTTTCTGTGACTCAGCCTATAGGTTCCCTTCTCTGCAAGGCTCTGAGGTAAAGTTTGCCTGGAGAGCCGTTCCTACCCACCCCCCTTAAGTGGGAAGGTCCTTGCCCTCTGGCCGATCGAGACATTTAATTTATTAGTTTAATTAAAATATTTATATCCTGCTTTTATTACCATTTAAATGCTTAACCACTGTCTAAAGTGTTAGAGATATATTGCAGAGTAAGGTAAAGGTAAAGGTGTCCCTTGCTCGAAAGCCAGGTGAATCCGACTCTAGGGATGCGGTGCTCATCTCCATTTCCAAGCCGAAGAGCCAGCGCTGTCCAAAGACATTTCTGTGGTCATGTAGCCAGCATGACTAGACGCTGAGGCGCACGGAACGCTGTTACCTTCCCACCAAAGTGGTACCTATTTATCTTCTTGCAATTTCTTACTTTCGAACTGCTAGGTTGGCAGGAGCTGGGGCCAGAGACGGGAGCTCACTCCGTCATGCGGCATCCGGGTCTCGAACTGCTGAACTACTGACCTTCTGGTCTGCAGTTCAGCATTTTAACCACTTGAGCCACCGCAGCCCTATTTGTATTGCAGAGTAGTAGAGTGCCAAAAAAAATATATCACATAAAATCATAATAAAAATACATCCATTAAAAATTATCTCAGGAAAAACAGATCGGACTGATGCAGTTTAGAGGCTCTCTTAAGCAGATTGATTTTCACGGTTTGCATGAAACCAAGGACCAAACTCCATGTTCAGTGTTTTAACAAGTTGCACCCAGGTTTCCCCAACCCGACCCTGGTTCCCTGCAGCTACACAACAGCTACAGAGAATGGCTTTTAGAAGATCAAGGAAGGCCCCCAAATGGGGTCAGATTGCCACTGCTGGGGAAGAGGGGCTCCTGTCTCCACCCAGCTTGTTTCCCTATGCAAACAGCCCCAGGAAGGGGGGAGTTATTTCCCTATTTTTGCTGCTCCACCTGTGCACATGGAATACCAAAAATAGGAAATAGCCCCCCCCCCAGCTGTTTCAGCATGGAAAAATGGCTGGGGGGGGTGAGGCAGGAGCCTTTCCTCCCCCAATGGCAGCATTCTGAGTCCATTTGGCCTCTCCTTTATTTATTTATTTTCCCATAGTTGCTTTGTGGCTGTGGGGAGCCCAAGTTGGATCCTGGTTTCTTTGACCCAACTCATTAACAACCCAAACATGTAGATTGGCCCTAAGAGAAATAGGGATGGAATTTAGCAGCCTCTCTGTCGCCACCAAGAAGGCATTATGTGGGCAGTCCTTGGAGTATCTCTGCCCCCAAACAGGCCTTCTGAGATCAATATGTGATTTGTGTTCAGAAGCAAACTGGAAAGCGTCGTATAGGCATGAGATGCTCAGATTGCTGAGTCTGTATTACCAACAAAGTCATCACATCCCCCCCCCCCGGTCATACATAGGGTCCACTGTCTCTCTAGTACATTTCTATCCTTCCCTTCCCCCAAGAAACTCAGCAGCTTGCATGGCGTGGTTCTTCCATGCTCATTTTACCCTCCAAACAACAATCTGAGGTCACGAAGGGATGTCAACCTCCAGGTGGCGGCTGGAGGTCTCCTAGGATTACAACTGATCTCCAGGTGACAGTCATCAGGTGTTCTGGAGAAAATGGCCACTTTGGAAGATGAACTCTATGGCATGATACCCCATGGGAGTCCCTCCCCAAACCCCGCCCTCCTCAGGCTCCACCCCCCAAAATCTCCAGGTCTTTTCCAGCCTAGAGCTGGCCACCTTATGTGCGTTGGGCAGAGACAGAGAGGGAAAAAACGGCATAAAGTTCACTGGGGGACTTTAAGCCATAGTGAGGATTTGAACCCCAGTCTTACAAATCGTGGTCCAGCACTAACCACTGGGCATGACAGTAATCCAATTGGGAAGATATCAGATTGTGATAACGGTTGTCTAGATTTTCGATAGGATACAATTTTGTGTATAATACACTCATGTAGACACAATCATGTAGAGTGTATTATATTTATATAGCCATCTTGCCACTCAATCTTTTGACCTCTGAGGAAGGCCTATGCAGGCCGAAATGCGTTAGGTCATGTTTTTAAGCCCGTGTATATTGCCATGCTATTTATATATTTGATGTGAATGGGCCCTTATATATGTTTTAAAATTTGTAATTAATAAATACATGTATCTTTTTCTGCATATTTTCTACATTTAGTTTTTAATATTGGCCCTCTTTTTCACATTTTACTAACCTTTGTTAGGTTCTGTTTTTTTAAGCAAAGCACTCCTGTCTTTGGCTGCAGCTTTCCAGAAGAGGTGAAATAGTTCTGTCTTTATCCTTCTGTCCTTTTCAGGCTGTTTGCAGGCGTTGTCCCTCGGATGTCGGCCATCAGTCTTGGAGGCTTCATTTTCCTGGGGACATATGACAAGATACGCCGTTTGCTCTTGTGAGCTGTCCCTGGGGCTCTGGATGAACTGCTGAGGAATGGGGTTTTTCCTTCACCCCTCCCCAAGAAGACACACATTCACAAAGATCCTCTTTTGCTTTCCCACAATTCCTCCCCCGCCCCTAGCCTCCTGTGGCTCAGCAGCTGTTCAACAGCCTGGACTTTATTCTCACTGTTCACAAAAAAAGGAAAAAGAAAAGAAATATGAATTTCCCTGTATGGAAACCCCTGTGCTAGCAATGAGCTCACTGGAAAGAGCGTGCCAAGAAAGGCAATATTTGGGGGGCAAACAACCCATTTTATGGAATCCAGCCTTGTGCCTGAAAGGCATTATTATTATTATTAGAACTCATTTAGGGAGAAGGATGTGCAAGCAAAAAGGACACAGCAGGCATGACATGGCCTTTTATTTTGTGACAACTCGATATTGGCGCTCAGGAAGACCGGACACCAGTGCAGGCCTGCTGCGCTCCGAAAAAGACCCAGACGGAAGAGACGGTGGATCTTCTTCTCTCTTGATATATGGAAAAGGGGGAGGGGGGGGAGCCATTTGTTTCTTGTTTGAACCCCGTTTGGAAAGTTTAGACCACTGTTCATACCTGCAGGTGCATAGCAAGCATTCTTGCTTGGATAAGCAAGGCTGCCTTTTTTAATTAGACTCAGATTTCTCCAGTAAAAGTACAATGTTGTATTATTTTACTGTCTAACAATGTTGCCTATGAAAAAGAAACAAAGCCCGGCTCTTTCTTTCCTTTCCACTCCTTTGCCTCCAAAGCAGCACAGAAATCACAGAACGCGAAAACAGAAACTGCGGACGGTGAGCGAGGAACGGATTAAACGGCAGCGGGGTTCATCCGTGACTCAGTGACTGAAGAGGACGCTCACAGTCCTTTTTTAGCAGAGCAGGAGAACGGAAGTTTGGTGGGGACTGCCGTGGAGGGTGTCGGGTGCCAGCTTCCTGCACGTGCCCACGAGCCTCAAGGTAGCCCAGCCGGTTGTCTGTGGTGGTGGGAAGTGCCATGAAGTAACAGCTGACTTATGGCAACCCCATAGGGTTTTCAAAGCGACAAACAGAGGTGGTTTGCCATTGCCTGCCTCTGCATAGAGACCCTGGACTTCCTTGGTGGTCTCCCCTCCAAGTACTAAGCAGGGCCCACCCTCCTTAGCTCCCAAGATCTGATGCAGCCAGGCTAGCCTGGGCCATCCAGGTCAGGGCAAGTTGGATTACTGATTATTGCACCCTCCTCCTTGATTAAGGCCGATTGTGAAACTTAGGGGAGTTTCAGAAGCATCTCAGGATGCAACATGAGGAGGTGTTCTTTGAAGAGTCACTTCTGGTGGGTCATCATGAAATGTGTCAAAAGATGTTTTTTTCAGTTGCAGTCTAAGGCCATAATCCAGCATAGCCAAATGCATTTACACCCACTGCAATCAATGGAGCAAGGAGGGTTACGTAATGCCACTTCCGTTGTGATAGTGCAAGAATGTGCAGTTGTGAGGTTACCTGTTCTCTCCTTTATAGATGTGAACAGGGCTTGCCAGGAAACCCTACCCCAAGCTATGGTGTCTAGTCTCACAAATACGAGAATGGGCTTCAGTCAGAAAGTGCTGAATTAAGCCGCTCTGCACGTGTAGATGGAGGCTCCTCTCTGCAACTGGACTTGCTTTAGTGTCCCACTGTTTGCGTTTCAAAGTTTATCCCTGGTTACAAGCTTTGAAAATAATCCCATCTTTCCAGTTCCATACAAGTCCCAAGGACACTGCGAAGAATCAGGGGCGGCCGGGATGTGTGTGTTGTATTTCCTGTCAATCTGGTACTTAGAAAAACTGGCTCATTATTAAGGGTATTTTTTTTGGGGGGGGGTAGAATACACCCATGCCCAAAGACTGGTAAGCATGCGAGTGTAACTGGAGAGAAATGACTGACATTGAAGGTGTATTTCCCTTAACTGTGAAAGGTTAACCGTTTGAGTACACACCTACATACATAACGCCCAAACAGTTCTCTGGCTCTTTGCATCCCTGAGCCTTTGCCTTCAAACTCACAGCCACTAGGACCTGCCTGGCCTCATTGGGAATAGGCAGAGATTCAAACAGAAAGGGACAACTGAAATGAAAACTTTTGAGGTTGTGAATTCTTACATTAAAAATTATTTCCTTTAATCAGTTTTTTATTTGCTGCCAGTTCATTTCCTTTCGGCAGCTCTGGATTTTAGCATAAGAGTGAATTTGTATCCCCGTTTCATGTACTCCTGTCTACAAAGGTCATGAAGTTTATAAACCCTCCCTCATTCTGATCCCAGCAGTCCCCCCCCCCCCGCCCCAATGCATCAGCCTTTTGTTGAGTGGGAAGGTACTGCACCTCATTGGCCTTTGCCTTGGAACACAGAGGTCGTTTGCATATGCGACTTGATTGGTTTTTGCCTCTAACATTCTAAACAGTTTGCTCTTCTGAGGTAAAATGTGTCCAATCTCCAGGTGAGGGCTGGAGATCACTCAGAATTACAACTGCTTTCCAGATGGCAGAGATCAGTTCCCCTGGAGAAAATGGTGGGCTCTGTATCCTTATATGCTGCTGAGGTGGCCCCCATATGACAGCCAATGTGACGTAGCAGTCAGGGCTTCAGAGCACGGGAGAGGCTGCAGGTGTGTGGGGGGTGGAAAGCTGAAGAGTGAGGGGGAAATAAAGGTAAGTTTATGACTGGCTGGGAAGGAGATAGGGTTGCCAACTCCTGGTGGGAAATTCCTGGAGGTGTGATGGATGGAGCCTGGAGAGGTTGAGGTTTCAGGAGGCGTGGGACCTCGGACAGGTACAAAGCCATAGACTCCACCCTCCAAACCAACTATTCCCTTCTGGGAAACCATCGTTGCCAATCTCCAGGTGAGGGCTGGAGATCACTCAAAATTACAACTGTTCTTTAGGTACCAGAGATCAGTTCCTCTGGAGAAAATGGTGGACTGAGTGTCATACCCTGCTGAGGTCGCCACAGCAAATTGACACTGAGTGTCCAAGGCCAGGCCACCCGCTCAGAGCCTCTTTCTACAGGCCGTTGTACTTATTTCCACAACAGGCCTTTTTCCTAGTCTTCTATATATGGGAAAGTCCTACCTGTATTGAATCTTCTGGGGGATGGGGGATGCCCAGGACTAGGGGGTGTGTGCTCGCTTCGGCAGCACATATACTAAAAATTGGAACGATACAGAGAAGATTAGCATGGCCCTGCGCAAGGATGACACGCAAATTCATGATGCCTACGACCAAGGTAAGGCCAAGCAAGCTCTTCAAGCAGCCATTGGGCCCTAAAGTGGCAATGAGAGCAGATACTGAGTCACAAGTGAAGTTAAGCATCATGATCCGAGTATGGAAGGTCTGTACAAGAACTGGTCATCACAAGCCAGGAAGCAGAAACTCAGTTTTGGACACCGAATAGGGCTTTTCATCTGCCTAAATACAATCTGAATTAGATGGTGTGGCATTGGTAGTAGTGGGGAAATGGCCCAGACCAGAGACTTCAGCTGCTTTGGCCAATTAGTAGAAGTTGTCTGATGAAGGAATGGGAGAAAATTCCATACTTCATGGGGCAGACACACAGAACATGCCTTCTCAGTCTTCCCGAACATCTTGCAACATTGATATTCAGGGGGATCTTGGAGATCCTACATGATGCAGCAATGCCAGTTTTTCCTTTTCTCTCTTCTAAAGGAAGAAAATTGGAGATCTCTATCTAGACAAAAAACTCCAGTGGTATTATAAATGGACCTTTATTAAAGACACTTCAATGCTGTTTGTTAGACACTTCCAATATTTTTACAATGTACTTCGCAATGTACAACATTGTACCAAAATTTTCTAATAAATAAATAACTTTGTACACAAAAGTAATACTTCCTCTTTCACATTGCCTCTCAGAAGCAGCAGATTCACATATTTAGTGGAAGTAACATTATTTAAACAGTTAGCTGTATCAAAAAATACAATATTCTTTCCCCAATCTGTTATTGTGGCAAATACGCTCAGCCTTTCCAATGGTGATACCTAGTTCCCCCTATGTCTCTCTGTGCTGATGTCCTATGAACCAACCCTTGACTTGTTTGCCTCCCCTTTATAAACATCTTGCTTCCTTTCAAACTAAGAAGGGAAAAAATGGCCACTTAAAAGGAAAAGAAATCACTCAATAGCTATCAGTTGGCACGTCACATAATTAGCCACCTACCACAAAGTGCAAGTGTTATCAGCCATTTAGAAGGGATAAGATAGATAGCTTGCCCAATTATGCATTGCTTCAGAAAGGCCAGCTTCAGCTAAAAAGTAGATGGCAAATTTGTGTCCTAGGTTTTGGTTGTGTGTCATCCCCCCCCCCCCTCCCAATGCACACTGGTTTATTGTCCTTGTTTTACAACCCCATGTCTCCTGTGGCAGTAGGATGGGTAAGACTACTTAAAGGGAGATACAAAATGAAGCAACAGTCCTATCAAGCTTTATAGGGAAAAGGTGTGTGTGTGTGTGTTTGAGCAGTTTTCCTATTAAAGTATCCCTTCCCCATCAAACCTTCAGGATAAAGTACAGGTGGCAGACAACACCCCCCCCCCCCCCGGCAAGTTGGTTACTTCCTATAAGCCAATCATGCAGGCTGATCCCAGGAAGTGTACTGGGTTGTGTAGTATGTGACCTCCTTACTGAAGAAGGGGGCAAGTTGTTCAGAAAAAAGGATGCTGTAAGGAAGAACTTAACACCCTTAATATTTGAAAGAGTGCAATGTGGTCAAGATGCCTACAGTGCTAACCACAAGGCATCCCCATTGGTTGTTCGGTCTTGTGTTACATCCCAAAGAGAGTTTCTGAAGGCAGTTCTATTGCCCTGATGTTTATGGGAGCAGCTCACTACATTGGTCTAAACAGAGGGGGTCCCCCCCCTTTGCTCCTCAACATTGTTTCTCTAAAAGCGGCCTTTAATCATGGCTTTTTAAAAAGGAGACAGAGAAATCCCCCCCACATGCATATTGTGACCTAAATGCAACAATTCTGAACTACAAAACAGGGCAAAAACAGAGAGATATTTTTGTTACACAGGTACAAAACATCACAAGAAGCAGCACTTCTATAAAGTAAAACAAAACGCTCTGTTTTTAAGTAAAACAGTTCTTCCTGTGCATGTTCACTTTTTGTTTTGTTTAGTTTTGAGTAGTGTTTTAGATGACAGCTCTGAAACCACTCTAAAAATAAAAACAGTAGCCTAGTGCGGTTACAGCCTATGAATTGTTGTTCTTAATTTCTGGACTCTAAATACAACTTTAATTAGAAAGACCGTACAAGACTCATAGATGTTTCTTTCTCCTTTAAAAAGCAACTAGCCACTATTTTAATGCAGTTCCACTGGGATGCATGACTCTTCACTAGTGCAATGAACAAACTGTGATCCTGCACACCAGATATCTGCGCATTGAGAATGTGTTTAAAGTCAACTGGATATATATCTATCCCCCACCATGTATGACAGGAGTCATGGCTTCTGTCATTAAAAAGGATCTGCCAGCTTCCCCTCCGCCTTCACCTGTGAAAAGACCCATTTTCCTTGGACAGGAACTATGCGAAGCACAATGCCACACAGTTGTGCTTTGGTACACTTCCCATTCATTTCAAGAAACCTGTATTTGAGTGGCTCTAATGGCGGTCTGTATCATCTCTGCCTAGTAATGCTAAAATAATAGACAATCCCAGTTTTAAAGGTCAAGTGCAACATTGCTGGACATCCATAACTGAAGTAGCAAACCAATCGGGTACTTGCTGCAAGAAGGAATTTTTTTTTTTGCCAGCAAGTCCTGTTCCATTACAATATGGGCCTGACCTTGAAGTTCCACTTAAGGCACCAGAATGATTACTCTTGGGAGGGGAAAAATGGGGGGAGAAACATGAAAAGTAACAGTATAGCGAGAAAACAATGTAGACTCAACGCTGAACAATTTCACTCCAATCGATCATGCACCAAGGAATAAAATAACTCTGTTAGAAGATATATATAATATATAGATAGATAGATAGATTTATAGATATGAAAACTCTTATGTACAAATGTACCAAATACACTTTCCCCCCACTTTACACAATAACTTTTTTTTTTTTTTGCATTTCTGTGCTTTCTATGCAAGCCAATGTGTGAGCTTCCGATACTTCTCATGGAAGTTTTCAAACTATGTACAAGTGGGCACCGCTTGGAAAGGACTTTGTTCCCCCACACAAGCTTGCTCCTTATACCTCATTTTATTTTCTCTTATTTTTTTTTGTTTTCCCATTGAGAGGCTGTCAGTTGAGAACTTGAGGTAGAAGTAGCTTAGATACTCTGTGCAAAGAAATCGGTAGATTCTGCTTATTTGCATGTTTCCTCTGTCCATCGTGATCTTCAGTGGCTTCACTCGTGAAGGGAGTCCCGTGACCTTGGTAAATGTCCATTGAGAAGAGTTTGTTTAGCTTCCGCTGCTGGTAATGTCTGTGAGAGTTCCGTAGTCCCTGTTAGGAACCTGAATGGGCCTTTGGAAGGTGACAGTAAACTATGAGGCTCAGAAGCCTTTGTTAAAGGTTGCGAAGAACCTGCAAGCAAACACCATGTAGATTTTAGAGACAAAAGGAGTGAGTCACCCAGAGCAGTAGGCTTCTAAAACCCCCACCATCTGTTATCTCTTCTGGTTATGGCAACAATAGACAGCAGTGTTCCGACCTAACCAAGTATCACTATTTTCGTCTATGTCTACTGCCAGAGGAAAGTAGACCCACTAAAGTTTGGTCCCACTGAGAACCAGCAATGCCCCCTAACAGCAACTTGATGCAGGGCCATCCCCAGCTTTGAACTGGAAGGACTTCCTGTGCCTACCTCAACAACAAACTCATCCTAGATTTTCTACAGATGTGAAGTCCGGGGGGGGGGGGGATGTTGTTTTTCCCCATTATTCTGAGGACTTCTTTTCCATTTTTCCAATGAAAATACAGGGACATTTGGGGGAGCAACGGGGAAAAAAATCTCCTCTGAAATATTTTTTAAGTGGAAAAAATACCTTGCATTTCACTCATTCTAAATATGTATCATGAAATTTTAAGGCAATGGTTTTTTCTCTCTCACTCAAAATGTATAATGCCCCTGTATAAATCGATGGTGCAACCTCATTTGGAATATTGTGTGGAATTCCGGTCACCACACCTCAAAAAAGATATTATAGCACTGGGGAAAAATGCAGAAAAGGGCAACTCGAATGATAAAAGGGTTAGAACACTTTCCCTATGAAGAAAGGTTCATAGGGAAGAAAGCTTGGGGCTCTTTAGCTTGGAGAAACGTCCTGTGTCCCTCCCTATCCTAAGCTGGATGTAGGAACACATGGGAATGGTAGCGCGATCTACCCTCCCCTCACCATGCACACACAAAATATATACCTTTGCTCTCCACCTGAGGCAGCTTACCTGGGCTAGTGGCTGGCATTCTGTCATGATTACTGGGGTAGATAGTCCCTCTGACGTCTGACATGCTGTTGCTTACACTCCCATTGCACTTTGGAGGACTTGGACAATTAGCAGCAGGCATGCTGTTGTCATGCCTCTTGGGGTCCTTGCTACTGGATGGATTTGGATGCATGTTCTCTACAGCCATAGGATAATAATCTGGATCCTTGGGATAAATGGTGACGGTCATGCTATCTGTGCTCCCACTGCAATCAGTGCACACAACTGGCAAAGCTGTACCCTGGGGGGGGGGAGAGAGAGAAAGACAGGCGCAGAGGGGAAAAACAGTGAATTGGCAGTTGGAATAGCCACATGTTAGCCAGTTTTGTGGGTGAATTCATTTTCTTAGAGCTTGGGAGTAGTCTTTTCATTCTTCAGTGTAGTCAAGGCTGACTACAGAACCCAGATTACTGAACGTAAGGGCATAAGAGAAGCCATGTTGGATCAGGCCGATGGCTCATCCAGTCCACCACTCTGTGTAACACAGTGGCTGAAAACCAGGGGCCATCTGGAGGTCCACCAGTGGGGCCAGAAAAAAATCTCAACTTTTATTTCTAAAAAAACCAAACTTTCCAGTCCCTATGGCTATAAGGCACTGAAATAAGCATACACTCAGGAGCCAGAGGTAACAATAGGAATACCGGTAGACAGGTGTGGGGCTTCTGTATTCACCATGGGGCTAGCAAGATGAAAATAAAAAATGCAATTACTTAGACCAGGGGTGGCCAAACTGTGGCTCTGGAGCCACATGTGGCTCTTTCACAGATATTGTGCGGCTCCCAGCAGGTTGGCTGCGGAAGTGAAAGGAAGGCCTGCCTCCCTGGTTGGTCTTCCCTTCCCCTTGCTTTCCTTCCACCTCTCCCCTCCCCCATCATTTCCTTCCTCCCTCCCTCCCTCTCTTTCTCCCCTCCCTCCCCATCTAAAGTTAAATATCACTATCAATATCTGTTATTACCCTTTTTGTTTTTATTTTTGGCAGTCTCCGTCAATATTAACAAAAAAGCAAATTTGCATATTTCCCAATCAAAACGTGTGGGTTAGATTTGTTCATGTCTTGTGGCTCTCAAATATCTGACATTTATTCTATGTGGCTCTCACGTTAAGCAAGTTTGGCCACACCTGACTTAGACTGCGTAATATATGGAAGTCACAGAATCCAACTTCTTCTGCTACAGAATCTTACATTAACACAGGATTTTTATATTAACAACAAAACGCAAGAGGGGTAGAATTAAGAATTTGCCGGAATCCTGGGCTGGGAACTTGTGCCTCTGCTTAACTGCTGCGAAGTGGCCGTGCCACTGGAAGTGGGGAAATAGCAGGGGGAGAAGGGGGTGCTTAGTCCTTCCCTTGCCTGCCTCTGCTGTGCTTCCCTCCTCTCGCTGCCTCTGTTAACACTCCAGATGTGTGTTGGCCAGAGGGAGAATGTTGCAGGGGAAAGCTACTGAGCTGGGGAATGGTTCAGGCACCCCATCCCTGCCACCCTTTCCTTGCTTCACATCACAGCCAAGCTCTGCCTTCTGTAGCGCCTGCATTCAATGTTTTAATTTCTATTATACTCTGTAATTCATTAACAGCTCATCATGGGAATGGATAACTGCAGAACAATTAAACTGCATTTTGCGGTAGACAGCAAACTTTGGAAGGGCTCCAGAAGGTCCAATGTTGGCTTTTCTTGCCAAATGCAACTGATTTGATATGAGGAAGTATTCTAGGTCACAATCCCAGGAGAGTTTCTCTTATCTACACCCTCCTGAAAGGGACAAGATCCAGGCAAAAGTGAGAGGCTCTGGCATGGCTCCTATTCATTTCAGAGGAGTCTCTATGGGAAAACTTCCAAGACTGTTCTCTTGGCCTTTTTGGACTAACACAGCAGGTGCTTTTTGCAACTGTTTTATGCTGCTCACCAATAACAGCGGAGAGAAAATATAACCAGAAACCCACACTGATGCATAAAACACATTTCTTGGCAAGTTTTAAAATGGTTGCCTTGATTCTCTGGTGTTTTTTGTTAATGTGTATGGACACAAATAGTTCCCTTGCTCTGTACCTGTCTTGTCTGTAAGAAGCATCCCATTGGCCACATCATCTGATTTCCAAGCTTCTTTATTATATCCCAGGCATAGCTTTGGCTGTCGATAAATGAGAGGGGGCGCATCATCAGCCACAGGACTCTTCTCAGGGTTGGTCTGGCAAATACCTGCAAGAGGACGACGAACTAGCTACAGATTACAAGCTTCTGAGGATGAGGAAGATACTAAATATAGTGTCAAAAATGCAAACCCAGATTTCATGTTGACAAAAAAAACATATGCATGTATTAGGAGGAGGAAATGATAATACGTGCAACCAGATATTGCAGTCCCAAGGCCTAAAATAAATTCAGATGCATGCCCTAATTCACCAGAAACATTTATCAGCAGAATTTTGTTACAGAGTCCTCACTGAGGAACAGAGGTGAAGGCAGAATTGTGGGAAGCCTGTACATACATCCCATTGTTGCATGCTATAGATTACAGAAGTGACTCTGCCGGTCTGTATGGCCACTGTGTGTGTGTGTGTGGCGCGTGGGCTCGCTGACAAAGCTCCTATTCTCTTTAATCGAGCCCTACGAGCAGCAGCCCCCAAACAGTGAGCCCAGATAAATTGCTGAATCCTGGAGCCTTATGAAGGGGGTCACAGCACAAACAACAAAAGGCTGTTATGTCATGAGGAACAACTATTTTAATTCATCTAAGGTCTAGAATGGGAGAGGAGCTGAAGGAAAGGTCCCATTACACAGCTATGACTCCAAAGACTAAACGCATCAAGAGGGCTCTTGTGACTACTGGGGACAGAAGGGTGAGGACGTTTCACTCCAGTAAGGATAACCAGAATAGTAAAAAGTTAGTTCCCTAGATATGTATTCCACAAAAACTACGGGCAGAGCAGGCGATCCCACTTGTGGGATCTCATCGACTGTATTCCTGTCCCACCCACATTCCACAAAGTACTGATTTTGTAATACGCGAATCCTACTTTTAGAGCTCACGATTTGCTGGTTGTGACTACAGACTACTTATGCATGTGAACAAAAGACTGCAGGGAAAGCTCTGTGAAGATGATAGGTGACAGGACTTAGGAGAACGGAGCATAGATATTCCACACTTGTTGGTTCTGAACCTGTTCTAGATGTGGGCAACTAAGTCTGCTCGTAATAAGACCCCATGCCCACGTGCAATGCAACACATCCAGATGATCCCAGATGAGTACTGCGAGTGGGACTGAAAATGCTCTCCAGCAGTTTGAGTGTTTTGTAGAACATTTGTAGAGTTACCTTCATCTATTAAAATGAGGCACATACGTTTACTCCCAAGAGTAAACTTTTTTAAAAAGCATCCTAATAAGTACCCATAGGTGGAGCTGACGTATTCTGCGCCACAAACAATTCTAAGGAATTGGATTCTTTTTCCTCCATAGATTCAACTAGGCTCTTCAAGTTAATTTCCGCAGTCAGGGAGATTTCAGAATGGCCATTTTGGACTTCAAAATTATGACACTGTTGGCCTTGCCACACCCATGGGGTCTTGACATCTACACTGCAAACAGTGTTCCCCCTAAGCTGAGTTAATGTGAGCTGGCTCACAGTTTTTTAGCCTCTGGCTCACACATTTTTGTCTTAGCTCAGGAAGGATGCCTCCAGAGCAAACTAATTTATGCAGCAGCCAGATTGCTCCTCACAACTTTAATGCCAGTGGCTCACAAAGCAGAATTTTTGCTCACGAGACTTGACAGCTTAGAGGGACCGTTGATTGCAAAAGCAAGTGTACTCAGGAAGTCATGATTGAACTACTGCCGTCCAATGCTCCCTCAAAGCTGTGGAGTCTTGTGAGCAAAAATTCAACTTTTGTGAGCTACTGGCATTAAAGTTGTGAGCCAGCGATTTGGCTGCTGCATCAATTAGCCTGCTCTGGAGCCATCGTCCCTGAACTAAGACAAAAATGTGTGAGCTGGAGGCTAAAACACTGTGAGCTAGCTCACACTAACTCAGCTTAGAGGGAACACTGCTGCCGTCCCTGACACTACGTGCAGGGTTTATGACACGGGATTATTAAAAAATCCACTCCCTGACCTTCATAAGAAGGCTTGCTCAATGTGATTTTACTGAATGTTCTGCTGGACTTTCAATCACTTAAGAAAATGTAACATGGTTTCATCAAGCCCAGGTTAGCCCAATCTCATCAAATCTAAGGAAGTCCAGGGTAGCTACACAGAGGCAGGGAATGGCAAATCGCCTCTGCTTGTCTCTTGAAAGCCCTACACGGTCACCTTAACTTGGCTGTGACTTGATGACCACCAAAGAAAGAGAGACTTTCCAAGCCATACCATTGCTCTGTATATGCCCATTTGGCTGTTGGCCATTTTCCACGCGGACCACTGCTTCCTGTCTGTCTGACAGTGTTCCTTGGGAGGATAGATAGCTTGGCACATCAGGTGGTACAATGGTCTCATCTGGAAAGAGAGAGGGAAAGGTGAAGTACTGTCTGAATTACAGTATGCGTGATTTCCAACAAATCTGGGATTCCCAAACCATTACAGGTGCTAAGTCATTGTATTTTTCTTGATTAGGTTTGAACGTCCTACATGTTATGTTGGCTCTAATGTTCCCCCCCCCCAAACCTCATGTATAAAATGAATGTAAAACAAGCAACCCCTCTGTTTTTTTAAGCCCCAAATGGCACCGGAAAAGAATCTCTCCAGATCTGGGTTCTGTTACCCAAAAAGGCTCTGGGCCTACCTGTGTTTGTGACGCTGTATTCTTCACTCTTCTTTCTGGTCTGATATATGATGCAGACCCAGACCAGGGAAGTCAACACGATGCTGCACACCACCGCAATGGTGATGATCCCAACTGCAGGGGTGGAAACAAGCCAGAGGGTCAAAAATACTGATTTTACTGACCAAATACTGACAAAAAACCTGACAAATTACTGATTTAATTTCAGCCTATTGATGAGTTAGCGTTTTAAAAGTAAAGCTAGGACTTCATTTAAAAATGATTATTATCTGGCCTCCAGCATCCCCATAGTCAACCATCGTACACCTTTTTTTGATTTTTTTAAAATGAAGATAGGACAATGTTTTAATTATCGTTCAAAATTTAAAGTAAAAAAAGAATCCCTTTAAAAAGGGCAGGGCAGGGTATACATTGAACAAACAAACAAACAAACAAATAAATAAATAAACTGCAGATAATAAAACAGCAAAACATATTAAAAACCATACAAAAAGTAATCATGACAACAAAATAGAATTACTGTAAGGTAAGACTTGTCTTTCCTTTTACTTTATCTTTGGTTTTTTAATGAAAGAAGAAGTTATTAGTGAACTCTTCTATTTCTCAACAGTTTTCTGCACCACATCCACAAGCATTCTTTTCTTGTCCTCTTCTTCCATTGCTTTCTCCACTCCTTCTAGCATGAGCTGTGCTGTGTTGAATCCCACAATATCCTTTTTCTCAGCAGCCTCCTTTACACGTTTCGTTGCATCACTTAGCAATGTCCGAGCAGTCATCCTCTTCTCATTCTGTTCTTGTCTCAGCTTTTTCAGTTTTGCTTCCTTCTCTTGTATACTATCCTTTTAACTGTCTATCTTCTTAAACCTTTCTAACTCCTCTGCCTTTTCCCTTTCTTTTTCCTTTTCTTTTTGGTCCTTCTCTTTAATGACATGCTGTTCATCACAATACTGCTTGTAATGAACATGAGCTGCTCTTGCCATCTGTAAAAGCTCCTGTGTGATATTAACATGGTATACCTTGTTTTCATATACACGATATAAAGTTTCTTTGACCATCAGGTGGGCATTCAAAGTTCTCTCTGACATCCTGGCCCTTTCATCGGTCAAAATACATCCAGATTTTGAAAACCCTCTTTCTATGACTGCACTACCGTGTGATAATGATAATGCCAGTGGGTATTTTGGATCTCCAGATGGTTTCGTCTTTTCAAAGAACTGATTCCAGTGTGTATCTATGCGGCAAGTTTCACTGGCAGTTTCATCTTCAAGTCTAAGAAGTTTTCATTCATCTGCAATCATGTCCAGAGGAATATCCATTGGGAGTGTTGCTGCTACTTTCATTATATCCTTATGGGTTCCTTCCTTGACTCTCTGTGCTGGAGCTTAACACTGAAGATATCTGAGGGTGGGCTTGTTCAAAGATGACTGAAGTAAAAGGTGTTTGTAGGCTGCTATGAAATATTTTTTTGCTCCCATTAAAAAGAGTAGCTGTTCCTTTTCAGAAAGTTTTTTCAGTTCGTCACAGATTCTACTTTCACTGATTACTTCTCTCACAGGTAGGTAGTGCTCATCACTGAAGGCTTCAAGAGACAATGGTGCTGAACTCTTACAAACACGATTCACTATGGTTCTTGTGAGTGTTTTTACTTCACTTCTCTCCTTTGGTAGTGTAACCCAGGGTCTGGCTACTTCAGAGGACCATGTGACCCTGAGGAAGCACTGCACTTAATTCTGGGATATATTTAAACAAATATGGGTTTATTGAAATAAGAACAAAATAGGTTTCTGGAAAAAGGAACTTGTAAAATATAACCAGCAAGCTTGGTGTCAAACTCAGTCTCTCAGACATCAAAACTGCACTCTGACAGGCTTCTCTTTCTCTCATATAAGAAGCCAAACCGGCTAAACTCTTTGACTTTTCCACACAAGATAAAACATTGGTCTAATCACACAGATTAGACAAAGCTCGTTTCTTTTTCATATAGTCTCTCTCACAAAACTTTTAGAGTTCCACAGACTCTCTTTAGAGCTTTTCACACTTCACTCTCCAAAGACACACACACAGAGAGAAGACTGTCGTAAAAGCGCGCGCGTGCACACACACACACAGATATTCCTCTCAGAACAACTCCTCCCACACTCTCAGTCATCAGCCAATCACAGCACACACATCTCCTCCTATTGCCCTCTTTGCATTACTGCAGTCAAACTAACATTTAAAGGAACACACACACATCAAAACAAGGAATCATTACAAAAACAATCTGTCTTCTCACTGGGAAGTCATCATGTTTTCCCCAAACTGCAGTAACAAAAACAAAACACAAACTGCATTCACAAAAATCACAGAAATACTGACTTTACTGACCAATTTCTTTAAAAAATTGACAAATTACTGACCAAGATGAAAAAACTGACTTTTACTGATTTTACTGACCATTTTCCACCCCTGCAACTGTGGTCCCATCCTTCCGGCAGACAAATGTTGGAAGCACACTAACGTGGCTGTGTGCTCGCTCCGTTCCCACGGTGTTTGATATCTCACAAGTGTACTTCCCATTATCCTCCATCACGACATTCCGGACGATGAGCAGTTGGTCACCAGGGGTGAAATGATGCCTTTCAGTGACTATAAGAGGCTGGTCACCCTTCAGCCAGGTGATGCGCGGAGGCGGGCTTCCTGTTGCTTTGCACTGCAGTACCACAGTTTCGCCCACGGATACGATGCGATCTTCCAGTGGGTGAACTAAGCTTGGTGTCTCTGCAAGGAGTCAGATATTATATGTTAACCTAGCCAAAGTTTAGGACATTGCTGGCTAATCTAACAGCCAAGAGAGTTCTCAGACTCATGCTATGGAAAGCCTAGAGCTCAGCAGATAAACTCCTTGGTTATGGACTGTGGTCTGTCTTTCCATAGATACATTTAAGCCCTACCCTTCGTACTTCTCTAAATAATGAAGGAGGTAATAGCCCTGACATGGATGGCCCAGGCTAGCTCCATCTCATCAGTTCTCAGAAGCTAAGCAGGGTTGGCCCTGGTTAGTATTTGGATGGGAGACCTCCAAGGAAGTCCAGGATGCAGAGGCAGGCAAAGATAAGCCACCTCTGAATGTCTCTTGCCTTGAAAGCCCCCTCGGGGTCGCCATGTGTCAGCGGGGGCTTGATGGCAAAATATAGGTTATCATTTCAGGTGTTTCCATATATAGATGTGCACGCTGCCTCAAATGGAGATTCAAAAGAGGATAAATTAATAATGCCACCCCACAGACTCAAAACAGCGACAAGTTCTAGTTTAATCCGAGCAGTTTGCAACCCCGACAGAAGAAAATTATACAGGGCTGTATAATTGCCCTATATGGCAAGAAGGACCACTGTCTCCTAGTTGTAGAAGTTATTGTTTCTCTGCGTAGGCATGGAAGACACGAATTCAATGTAGTAGTTCCCAGAAACGTGTTCCCCACGTGGGAATTTGTTCTGTGAATTCCCAGACGTTTTGTGTGTGTAAAACTGTTCAAAAGTTCCACCCTCCTCCAAGCAGGACAGGGGAAGGAAATGTTACCCATAAAACAAGAGGCAGGCCCATGACAACTCATGGGGGAGGAGAAATCCCACCCCTGCGTGCCCCCACTTCCTTGCCAAGTGTTGCCTTCTCCCAACCCTCTTGTTGCCCATTTCCCCCTCCTTCTCATAGGTCAACCATTACATTGTAAAATTATTTTGCACTTCCCCCCCCCCCATCTTTCTGCATGTGGAGGCATCCTAAGTTACTGGGGGGGGGGGGCGTTAAACCTTATGTTCCTTCCCTTGTGCTCTGCATGAGCGTCAAAGACGCAAGAAGGTGGCATGGTGGACTGTTGGCTTGCACAGCCAGCCAGCACAGGATCATCAGCGGCCCTCCACGTTGTGATTGGTGCTTGTTGGCAGTTCGGCTATGGACTTTAGTGCAACTGCTATGCACTCAGCCCCTTGAACTCTCCCCTAGAAGCTAAAATGACTAAACTGAGGCTATGCTACTTTGGTCACATTATGAGAAGGTAAGAGTCACTGGAAAAGGCAATCATGCTAGGAAAAGTTGAAGGCAGCAAGAAAAGAGGAGGACCCAACATGAGATGGATTGACTCAGTCAAGGAAGCCATGAGGGCCCTCAGTGTGCAAGACCTGAGCGAGGCTGTTAACGATAGGATGTTAGGGAGGACCTTAATTCACAGGGTCACCATAAGTCAGAAGCAATCTGATGGCACTTAACACACACAGAGAACACCTGGGAATTAGACTTCTTTGTGGATCGTCTGTTCTCCACTGGGAGGGAGTATATGGTCCTGACCAGCTATGCCAGTGCCATGTACACTGGGGCATGGGCCTGATCCACGCTTTACTTTCCATGTATCTGCTGTCCGTTCAGCCTATCTGAAAGGAAGCAGATTTCCTTACCTAGCACCGTCAGCGTGGCATTTGCGGACACCAAGCCAGCAGAGTTCTGAGCAGTGCAGCTGTAAACACCCATGTCTTCTATCTTCACATCAGTGATGAAGAAGACATCGTCCTCAGGCATGACGTGCATCCGACGCTCGCGAGCCGCGGGGAAGTCGGTGCCCCCGTCTTTCTGCCAGGCAATTTGTGGAGAAGGGTGGCCACCAGCAGCACACTCCAACCGAGCTGTCGTCCCTGTCCGGGCCGCAATGTCATGGGGAGTTTTGTTGAACGATGGCAACACTGTGTGAGAGAGAATGACCATGAACAGATTCCTTGGATGAAGCCACGGTACTTAAGGATTTAGGCATTTCTACTCCACTTTTGTCCCCGATGGTGGCCCAAAGCAGCTTATAACATCGTTCTCTGCTCTCCTCCATTTTATCCTCACAATAACCACCAAATGTTTTCACAGGCAACAGCAGTCAGAAATGACATCCTCTCACCTGTCAAGTGAGGCAGCAGAGTCCACCCTGCCAATGCATTCTGCTGTATGCGGAAGCTTCCACTGATCAAAAAAAAATCTTTAGATATTTATAGCCCATCTCCCCCCCCCAATGCTGTAGAATGGGAGTGGCTTACAAGATGGCCTCCCCCGAACTCCAGTTTATCCTGTCATCAATTACTCTGTGAGGTAAGTTAGGCTGAGAAAGAGACTAAACAGGCCCATGGTCAGCCCATGAGCTTCCCCTTACAGAGTTGGGATTCCAACCTGGGTCTCCCAAATCCTAGTCTGGCACTGTAACCACAACACAAGCACAAGTCCCACTGAAGTGCTGCCTGCTTCCGTCAAGCTTAAAATATAAAACCTCCAAACTTTTCCCAAGGCTTGGGGTCTAATGCAGTGTGAACACAACTGCGCTGAAGAGCAACTGTTTCCCCCCTCCCTCAACATTCATCTGTGTCCCCCGCCCACACACACAGATTGTGTCCTTGAGCATCAGGAGATTCCCAGGGACACCAGGGGAAATCAGAAGGGTGTTGATGTCGCTGCCTGTGCAGGCCCACATCCGCCCAAACTGCAATGGCTGCCTACTGAATTCTGGATCCACTTCAAGGTGCTGGGGCTTACCTTTAAAGCCCTATATGGACAGGGGCCTGCATATCTTCGGGACTGCCTCTCCCCATATAAGTCCCACAGAACTGCATTCTGCAAACCAGCATCTCCTGGTAGTCAAGGATGTCCAACTTGCCTCAACTAGGGCCAGGGGCTTTTTCAGCCCTGAACCCCACCTTGCGGAGTGAGCTTCCTTATGAGATCAGGGCCCTGCAAGGCCAGTCACCGTTCCACAGGGCCTGTAAGATGGAGCTCTTCTGCCATGCTTTCAGTTGAGGCAGCGAGCATCCACCTGATATAGCCTCCCCCCCCACCCCCCAGGGACCACGGACCCACATAACTGGTATCAACATCATCTGCGGAGGCATATTGGACATCTAGTACTAGATTGCTTTAGGGTTTACATTTTAACTGATTGATGTGTTTTAAATTTTAATTGTAAATCTGCACTGTGTGCAGATCGATGTGTTCGGAACCCGCCCTGAGCCTGCTATGTGAGGAGGGCAGGCTATAAATTTAATAAAATAAATAAAATCTAAGTGATTCCCAGCATTCTTTATCATTTCCATCTCGCTGCTTCTTCACTCACCATTAACAGTCAGCTGTGCTTTTTGAGAGTAGGTGGAGCCAAAGTGATTGGTGATGATGCACTGGTAGCGGCCCTCATGGGTGAAAGCGACGTGGCGCAAGAGCAGGACAGTGGTGTATTCCATCACCATGCCATCCGTGGCCCGGACGTGGGCAAAATTCTCCATCTCTGCATGGTGCAGGATTTCATTGTCCTTCTTCCATGCAAAGGTCATGGGGGAACTGCTGCTGCTGGCTGCCGAGCAGGTGAAGCGGATGTTCTTGCCAAGGACGGCTGTCGTCGTTTCTGGCTGAACTATGATCTGGGGTTTGGGGAAATCCTCTGAAAAACAACCACAGTATTTTCATTTTTTATTATTAAAGGATGCACTGGACAAAAAAGTGGAAACCCCATCTTTGGGGGGGGGGGATCAGCTTCCCCCCACGTTCCGATCCTGAGAAACCTCACTGCTTCGTTCAACCCCTGATTTCTGCAGTTCAAAAACAGTATAAAACACCCCCCACCCACATTCAATTAATCAGAATCTTGATTGTTCACTGTGTCCACCATATAGCTTCACTGTACTGAACTCTAAACTGAGCATCATCTGTATTTATGCGAACATACTATTGCCTTTCCCTCTTGCCCAACAAAGGTGGACAGAAGTAGCTAACAAGAAAGATTTTGAGAAAAGACCCCACATATATATTGGGTTGGATCCCCCAGAACATTTCCGCTTGCACAAAAACTCTTGCACTAACAGAAACATAAGAAAATTGTGAGTAGTCCATTTGTTAACTTGACTGCATCTTGTGTTTCTAGTTCGGCAAGACAGCAGATAGGGTATATTTCAGCACGCACATACACACATAATGGTAAAAAGGGAAGATCCATAAAGTCTAACGCCACCTGATCAGTTTTGATTACTACTGGTTTATTGTTTAAAATTTTAATTTATTAGAATTGTATTTATAAATTGTTGTTAACTGCCCCTAAGCCCCATTGGGGGGATCTAAATAAATAAATAAAAGTAAGTAATGCCTTTATTGGAGCTGCGGTGGTTCAAGTGGTTAAGACGCTGAACTGCAGGCTGTGGAAGGCCGGTAGTTCAGCAGTTCGAGACCCGAGTTGCCGCATGACGGAGTGAGCTCCTGTCTCTAGTGCCAGCTCCTGCCAACCTAGCAGTTCAAAAGCAAGAAATTGCAAGTAGATAAATAGGTACCACTTTGGTGGGAAGGTAACAGCGTTCCGTGCGCCTTGGTGTTTAGTCATGCCGGCCACATGACCATGGAAATGTCTTCGGACAGCGCTGGCTCTTCGGCTTTGAAACGGAAATGAGCACCGCAGCCCTAGAGTCGGATTTGACTGGCTTTCGAGCAAGGGAACCTTTACCTTTACTTTAATGCCTTTATTTGATCAAAGCACATAGCCTTGTGATTTCTGTACATAGCAACACTGACCAGAAATGAAAAATCAATGCTTCATGTTACAGTAGCTGTTGCACAATCTTGCAGGCAACAGAACTAAGTAAAAATTCTCTACCACTACTGACTGGTGGGATCCAACCCATACTCTGCTTGCAAAGTGAAGGATAAGAATGTAAGAGAAGCCAATGTTGGATCAGGCCAGTGGCCCATCCAGTCCAACGCTCTGTCACACAGTGGCCAAAAATACCAGGTGCCATCAGGAGGTCCACCAGCGGGGCCAGAATTCCAGAAGCCCTCCCACTGTTGCCCCCAAAGCACCAAGAATACAGTGCATCACTTGCCCCAGACAGAGAGTTCCTATTTATACCTTGTGGCTAATAGTCACTAATGGACCTCTGCTCCATATGTTTATCCAATCCCCCTCTTGAAGCTGTCTATGCTTGTAGCCACCACTACTTCTGGTGGTAGTGAATTCCGTGTGTTAATCACTCTTTGGGTGAACAACTACTTCCTTTTATCTATTCTAAGCATACTGCCCATTGATTTCATTGAGTATCCACGGGTTTTTGTATTGCAAGAAAGGGAGAAAAGTCCTTCTTTCTCCGCCTTCTCTATCCCATGCATAATTTTGTAAACTTCTATCATGTCACCCTTCAGTCATTGCTTCTCCAAGCAAAAGAGCCCCTAACCTCTTTAACACCCTGGTATAAGCTGCAAAAGCAGCATAAAAAGAAGCGCCTGGCCAAAGTAATAGCCACCGATCATTCGAGGCAAGCCCAGTGTTTTCTGGTTGACTTACCATAGTAAAATCATTGTAGCAAGGGGAAATTCCCGGTGTATATTACAACATGTTCCAGAAAAATGCTCTTCCCATCATCTTATGCTGGCCAGTCATTGTGACATGCCCTCCAAACTGCTGCTACCACACGATGACATCGTTAATTTGTTAAAAGAGTTACAGCAACTGTTGCAATTAACATCAGCAGTGACAAGTGCTGACAGGCAGGATAGCATCCTGGCACAGAGATGTCAGAAGGAAGAGCAGATGCATCTGCTTGTCACCCTTCCAGAGCAAAGGCTTGTGCTCCCGGAGCCTGACACAGGAGACTATTTGGCTTAGCTGAGTTCCAAGCAGCTTAATTTATTAGTCACACAAAAGGCATCTCTGATTTCAGTGCTGCTCGGTTCTTCTTTCCGAGAGCACCGGCATGGATGGGAGGGGGGGGGAAGTGGAAAGTCAAATGGCCAGCTCGCCACCAAATCACATCCTTACTGAAAAAAGGAAGGCGTTTGGCAGGGCAACGTGTTAAACACAGACAGCCAATTCAAAATGTGGGAGAGACTGCACACAGGACTTCCTTTTTCTGGATCACAGGACTGTAGGCGGCTCCACCATATTGGGGAGGGGAGTACTCTGCACTTGGAAAGCTAGGATGTGGAGAAAATGGCTTGAATTCCACCTTCCTCCCGATATGCTCGACTTCTCTGTGTGATGGAGCACTCAAGCATGCAAACCGCCGACTACAGTCTGATGCTACACAGTGCAATGAGGACTGCATGACATACAGTTTACGCGGGTTTGGATTAGTCCAGAACCAGAACGGCAGAGCAAGTGCGTATCTTAGATAAAAGATTACAGGAGGTAATGATAATGACTGCTTTCCAAACACTTGAACAGACGTGACAAAAAAGAAAGGAACTGTTGGCCAAGCCCGCTGGAAAGAATAGCAAAGGGAAACTGACAGCCCTAAGGGATGCAGAAAGCCGACCCAGGAAATGTAACTTTTCCTGATCTCTTCAAAGTGAGAACTGCTGGACAGTGGTAGAGGTTCAAAGGATAATTTGTAGAATCCCCAACTATGGACGCTCTTTTCAGTGTGGTCACTGAATGACATTTTGTGTCACTTTTTTTTTTTACCCCCAAGACATGGCGATCCACATTCCTCCACATTTTGCTGAAATTAGCACTATACGGCCATGCATCCCCAGTTTAGGGTGGGAAGAAGGGAAATCAGTTGGGTTCGGATCAACCCCCCTCCCCCCCAAAAAAAATCTCTACATCTCAGCAAGTCTGAGAGGCAGAAAAGATTCCAGGTTGGATGATCAGAAGACCTTGTCTTCCAGATGATCAGCTGGGTGCTCCACCAGATCCCCCACCTTCCAAAAACCTTGGCGGGGTACAAAGCAAAATTTCCCTAGCAGGAGATCAGAAATCTCACCAGTTGGTAGGCAGCTTTTGATGGCCGCAAGTAGCCTCTTCATGCAAATACACACGGACAAGTTGCAAACGGCTGAACAGCGCATCAATTAATTGGCTGCCTGTCCACCACTGGCACATGCAAAGTGAACCAAAGTTGCAAGTAACTCAAGTATTCCTAAGCTGTTGTGGTGCAGTGGTTAAAAGTGCCCACAGCTGCTTTTCTATAGCTGACCAACGTCAGAAGAAGCCTTAGGGGAGAATGCACAAAAAGGTTCCTGCTGTGTTGGCAGGACCCGACCAGACCTTCCTGCTCGGAAGCATAGATCCTGGCAGCCAATCACAAGTGAACGTCAGCACCCTGGAGTCAACTGACCACATATCAGAGTGGCCACGCTGCGACCACTGATACTACTGAGCTGATCAAAGCAGTAGCTGTTGTTGGGGCCATACAGGCTTGTCATTCCGCGACACAGGACACTGCAACAGCTCCTACCAACCACAGTATCACTGGATGTGGTTTCTGAGCCATGCAGTTTCCCCAGCTTAGCTACATCTGGGTTAACCAGGCTGATGGTGCGAGGTGTGCCGATGGACTGCTGATTGATCAACTCTAGGCCCTGCAGTTTCATTTGGGGGAGAACAACTATACTTTCCTATTTAGGTGTGAAATTTGGTTCCCATCCCAGCCAAATGTTGTTGTTGGCTGTGTGTCCTCAACAGAGAGTGACCTTAATGCATGCAGTAAGCAAGGTGTGGTCACAGCCACTGATGGTGGGTGGGATCGTGGCGTTATCTGTGTTATTGTCCATGCATTGCCTAATCGTCTTTTGTGCGCACATCCACAGCTGGAGAGTGAGATCATCTAAGCAGCTGAGATACTCGTGTGATCTAAGCAGGTGCCGGGATATTTGTGCCGATCTGATTGCAGTGCACGGTGTGAACGATGGGACGGGCACATTAGGCTTCCAACAGAGTAGATGGATTCCTCTGTTAATTCTCTATATAAAACTAGAGCCACCTCATGCATTCTGACGGTGTCAATTCTAGATCAATAAACAAGCTGGGCAATGGAAATGGTCCCTTTTCGTTCACGAGCAGGAAAATGTAACCGACTTTGGCTCTAAACTTTTTAAACTGTTCCATTTCAAGAGACAAACGTGACACACATGTCGTTTCAGCTGCTCTCTGTTTACTATGATAGTCCATAACTCTTCCCCCAAACAACAGTATTAAAAAGGTTCAGAAAAGATCTCTTCAGGAGAAGGGGGGGAAGTCTCTACCCCAAAGCAACTGACTTTTCCACAGCTGGCCCTAAATTTTGAACCCGCACCCTACAGGCACATTTAAATGCTTTCTTGTGGTGTTTAAGTGGTCTTAAAACTACAATCCCTGGGTTCTTTTGGATAGTGCTAGATTTGACCTGCTTTTTAATGACACTTGGGATAGCAGTTCTTAAAGAACAGATTTCCTGAGGGTGCCATTTATAGTACTTACAAGTGGGGACCTGCAAGAAACTTGCAGGGAGGGGGCATCACCTCCACTTTGTTTCCTCCCCCTTCTTCTCTGCCTCTCACTCGTTCTCCATCCTGTCACCCCATCTCTCTGTCCCCCATGCCTGTCATTCTCTCTGCCCCCTACACCATCAGTCTCTCTTTCCGCCCCTACCTCAATCACTCTCTCTTTGTCTCTTTCTGGCCCCCTGCCCCATCACTCTCTCTTTTTTTCCCCGTCTTCCCCCCCCCCTGCCACTCTCAGTGACTTGCCTGGAAGTGTTCCGGGTGAGCCAGCAGCGTCTCTTGCCCCAGCCACTCTCTGCAGCTCACCAGGAGTTGCTCCAGGTGAGCCGGCAGAGTCTTCCCTCCCCCCTTCCCCTCGTTCTCTGTGGTTGGCAGAGTCTTCCCTCCCAGGCTACCACACCTCTGCCACCAGGTCCAGTATGGCTCACGGCCTGCTGTGCAGCTGATGCCGGGCCTGAGACACAGATAATGCTTTTTTATTGGGGGGGGGATTTAAAACCACCGCACACTTTTTTTTAAAGTCAGATTTTTCTGCAAACCTAGGGGTTCCCCTGAGTTTGCAGAAAAATCTGTTTAGTGTCCATGTGGCTCTTATCTGTGGATTTTAGTATCCACAGATTGGGGGGCGGGGCACAGGTCTTTAATAGTATATAGATCAAAAATGAATTCTGAAATCACATAATGACACATTCTCAACCTTTCTCCATTTTTTGACCTGATAATTTTTTCACACTCTTGTATATCCACGATTAAAACCACTGTTAATTTATCAGGGTCCAAAGGGGGAGGGGGCGAAGGTATAGTATTTACAAACTGTACACTTGGAATACTTTGTTACATTTTATGGAGAATCTTAAAATGAAAAATTCCATAGTGGATTGATTGTGGCGGTCACAGGAAGCCAGACTGTCAGTTTTTGGAGCAATCTCCTGTTCCAGGAGCCACAATGCCACTCTCAGCAAAAGAGCCCCTCTGGTGGGCTCCCTCTTCACAAGGCTCCCTCTTCACACCACCTAGATGCACCCCACATTTCATATGAAAACAAGTTACATGATTTGCTGGTTCCATGGGCCACAGCATGACCAGGTCACTCAAAACTTTGTCGTCCTGCCCCCCCCCCGGTCCCCCATCCTGCCCTCTCAGCTGCTCTGGAAATTAGTAATGATATTTGTGTAAAGAGGACTATCAGTTCAAAACACATACAGAGATTTGTTACTGGTCACACACTGTGTCCTAGGGTACCTTGGGTGAGAGAATGCACCTCATTATGACTTATGATATCAGATGTTGATTGAGCACCGTTGTTTTTAATTATTGATGTTTTATTATGTTTTATTATGTATAATATGTTTTAAGTTATTATGTATATTATGTTTTAATTATGGCATGGTTATTACCTTGCCCTTGTTAGCCGCCCTGAGCCCATTGGGGAGGGCGGGATACAAATATGAAAAATAAATAAATAAAATAAATAAATTCAAGAGATACAAAGTTCTGCAAAATTATCTCAGCTGAAGTCTCATGTTGCTTTATCTATCTGCTGCATCTGATTTTCTTTAAAAACCAAGACATCTGGCAAATGACCTTGTGCCTACATACCCATTCAGGCTGTTAATTTTTCAGGCTACACTGAGGAGCTTGTTCTCAAAGGAGAAGTCTTGCTTCTGTTCCATCCACACAGCCTAAAATTGAGGGCCAAACTAAACGTGATGGTGAACTCATGGCCACCATGAGTTTTCCATCACCATTTTGAAGTGGTTTTAAAATGCTGTGTGGGCCTGTTCCTGTTTTGGAACTTGAAAAGGGACCAGGTGGGGAAGAAAGAGCTCCACGCTGTGGGCCTGATCAGGATCAGTCTCTTGCAGCACTTTAAAATGGGGACAGAGAACATGAGTTTCCCATCACATTTCATTTGGTCCTGAGCAATAGGGCTTCAGATTACCTCATGGGAGAAGCTGCTGCTGCCAATCAATTCTCGAATGGCCAATCAGAAGCCTTGCTGAGCAAAAGCCCCACCTGGCCCTGTCCACTTTCTAAAAACACTTGGCGGGAGCACCACATTGGGGATCCATGATCTATCCTAACACAGAAATATTATGGCAAGCTACACAGTAATAATGTTTCCTGTTTTTTTAAAAAAAATCTGTGAGGACTTTGTGGCTATTATAGTAATTGCAAAGCAAGGAGCTTCCACAGACCAAAATGAGAAAGTGCACCAATGGGAAAGGCATACAGACCGCCAAGTGCCCAGTCATGTATTAAGGCTTTTATACACTATCAGACTTTTCATTACAGGTTCCACAGTCTGCTATGGAAATCCTCCCCACGGCAGTCACGTGACCTGATCTGCCAGGCGACTCCCCCAGGCTTCCATGATCCACTGTGGGATCCCCAAATCTCCAGTTTGATATCACAGTTCCAGCTATATATTGCTGTATTCTGTCAATACAATGTGCAGTTCTGATCGGAAATCAGCTCTGCTCAGTGACAAGTTTAATCATACTAAGAGGAATGCCCTCCTTCACCACATACAACAGAACAAGCTAGCCGCAAACGACATACCAGTCCCTGTGTAAAGTCTGCCCTTCTAAACAACCTCAAAATTACTAGGTTACAGCCAAGACTTACCACATACAAAACTTTCTGGCACCACATCGAAAATGCTTCTGCCCTTTAACGACTCTGGGTGGGCACAGGTGGCTACCACAAATGGCTGCAGTTCCTTCCTGGTTAACCACTGTGGCAGCCATTTGAGATGACAATCACACAGGAAGCTCTCGCTGTTGATGTGGCTAGAGGGAAACAAACCAAAAAAGAAGCAAAAGAGCTGTGAAACTTGCCTTTCCTTAAAGCAGTAAGGAACACAGGATCAGCAATTCAATCTCATAAACTCTAACTACAGTTATGTATTTGGGGCTCTATGACTTCCATTTCACACACAGTTTACTGGGGGTGGAGCCAAGTCATCATGAACAGGTTGTTCAGAGCCAGACCATGCAGAACAGCACGTCAAGTCTGACGTTTTTACCACTGGTCCTCTTTTTACATAACAGTAGCAAATGGGCAGTGTAGCCGTCCCTGTTTGAATGAAGATTCTGCAGCATGTGAGGTCTCTTCAGATACAAATTCTAACAAATCAAACTTTGACTCCAAAGATCTTTTGAAGGGACATCCAAAGGGAGAGAAGAATCAAGTAAACCATAAAGTGAAGCATCAATGAAAACTTCTTTTCCTCCCCTCCCCCAAATACATAAGAAGAGCCCTGCTGGATCAGACCAAAGGCCCATCTAGTTCAGCATCCTACCTCACACAGGGCCAACCAGTTACTCTGGACGGCCAACAACAGGGCATAGAAGCTAATGCCTTCCCCCGATGTTGCCTCCTGGCACCAGGATTCAGAGAATTACTGCCTCTGAAAGTGGAAGTTCCCTTTAGTTACTGTGGCTAGTAGCTGCTGATAGACCTACCCCTTCATGATCCTGTCTCATCCCCTTTTAAAGGCATCTATGCCCACGGCCATCACTACATCCTCTGGCAGTGAATTCTACATTCTAATCACTCAGTATATAAAGAAGTACTCCCTTTTGTCCATCCTGAATCTACTGCCCATCAACTTCACTGGATGCCACTGAACTCTTGAATTTTGGGAGAAACAGAAGAAGTTCTCTCTGTCATGCATAATTTTATAAACCTCTATCATGTCCCCCACTTAGCCATCTCTTTTCTAAACTGAACAGTCCCAGACTCTTCAGCCTTTCCTCACAGGGAAGGTGTTCCACCTCCCTTGATCATTTTGGTTGCCCAGTTCATTTCCCAGCTCTGCGATATCCTTTTAAAGATGCGGAGACCAGAACTGTACATCAAATGAGGCAGCAACACAGATCTGTACAGAAGCATTAAAATATTGGCAGTTTTATATTTAATCCCTTGCCTAATAATCCGCAGCATAACGTTTGCCTTCCTCACTGCTGTCGCACACTGGGGTGACATGAGTATGATAAAGACTCTCTTTTCTCTTCAGCAACTGTTATCAGTCATGCTTCATGTTAGACAAAACCTTTCAGTCTCAGATGCTCTCACCCACCCATATCTCCTCCTCTGTGATTCTAGAAGAGCCCAGGACCTTAAGCAGGCCAATTTAATCATTTCCCCACCCCAATTTCCATTAACTTATCTCAACTGTTTTTCAACTTCCCTGCTTTTGAAAGCATGCTCAGTCCTTATCAGGTTAATTTACAAAGTCACGTTTTTTTGGAGTCCCCGGGTATGCAGAAACCTCGCCTCTGGTTGGTTTGGCTTTGCTGCTTCCATGACTGGCATGAGCCACCCAATTTTCTACCACCTACAGAGGTGCTTTGCACATAGGAAACATCTCCTAGTACAGGATTTCAGACAGGACCTGGGAAACGCTTGACACCCTAAAAAGCCACTGTGGGTCAAGGCAAATACTATTTTGGTATGAGCAGACAGCAAACTGAACCTGTATATAGCCTGGTTGAATCACCTCCAGGATTTTATAAACTGGAAGACAGGTTATTTGTATGCCCACAAATATATAACCCAAGAATAACTTCTGTGCCCGGCTGATGTTTTGTCTTGGAAAGAGACCCAACACATTTAGTGCCTAGACATCAAATGTCACTCGAACATCCGGCCAAACATAAGCAGAAAATGAACCTTTGGGGAGGCGGGAGTGGAAAGCATCACAAGGCAGGAAGTCTGGCATGTAAATGTGCTGAACGAGATCTCCCTCACACAGCTGTAGTGTCAGATCTGCTCACATGCCCGCAATTTCCCCTTCCCCAAGACTAAAGCGGGCACCAAAAATCAAATTCGAACTTATCGCTGAAACGTCATCAGACCATAAATGTGAGTAAGGAAAAGGAGAAGCTAAACTTGCTGCCAGGATTTAAGTGAGTCGCTGAATGCTCTGTAAGGCTAGAGAATGGGAGTCTGGATTCCCTGAACGGAGATGGATAAGGGCACAGATGCAGGCCAATGAAAGAAGCTGCTGAGACGATCCAATTTCACCCATTACAGACTGTGAGATGAGTCTGGGACATCTGCTGTAGTGTAAAAATAACTCCACAAGGGTAGCAAGCGCAGAGCAGCAACACTGGGGAATGGGGTTGGGGGCAGGGCAGAGGAGGGTCAGAACAGTCGCTGGGGCAAGGAAGTGCCACAGCGACACACAAAAGTTTCAGGACAGCCCACAACAGTCCCAGTGACTTACAGCTCCTTCAGGCTCTTCAGTTTGGCAAATGCGTCTGCTTGAACAGACCTCACTGCATTATCTCCAAGATTCCTGCAAAGGGAAGAAACGTTTGGGTCAGTTTAATTTCTTGAAAACATGTATGGCTTCACATCTGATTATAATGCGTATGCATGCACCTACTAATCAGGGAACGTGCCTCATCACAAAGCCAGTTATTCATCGAACAAACTGATTTCATGACATGTGGTAGGTGTTCCCGTATGTGATCATCACCACCACCTTTCAAAGCCTGTACCCTAAAGCTCACACATATGTGTACTGCACAATGGGCTGCGTTCCCTGAATAATCCTGCTTAGGTGTCAACTACGGAAACAGAAGTAAGTAACAAAAGGCAGGAATTCTCTGAAAACCAGTTGACGCTGTTTGTTTTGGAAACTATTCATGTTAAATATTTATAAAGCAAAGCGTCTTTCGTGTCTCTAAGCAACACACACAAACCCCAAAGATGCTCTGGGTGGATTTAAATCAACTGCATTGATTTTTTTGTGCCATTATTGTTATAGTGACAATGAAGTGCAATTATGTTTGAATAAACCTGGTCAATCCCCAACAGGCTCCGGAAGCATTCTGCAAAAATCCAGCCTGCCTGAGATCATCGGTAACGAACTCCCTCCTGGACTTGACTCTTTCAAGATGAAGTAGTTCCATTGGATTCTCAGGGCATGGATCTTTAAGAAGGGAATGTATACTGGGGGGAGGGGGAGGCACTGTTCATTCCAATCCAGTGTATTAAAAAATCGCATTCAGAAAGGTTTCTTGAAGTTTTAGAATGAATGGCCTAGTAAACCTAAGCAGGTGTTGACTGCCTGGGTCCACATAAAAGCCATTTTGAGGTTTCCAAAGAAGGTGGGGAAAAAAACCCAACAGCTCTCTTTGAGAAGGCATCAGCATGAAGCTAATGGAGGAAGCTACACGTCCCACAACTAGAAAGACCAGAACTCCCAGGAACATGGTTTCCTATCTTCTGAAAAGTTTTCAGTTGGGGGAACACATTTAGTAAACTTTGCTTTGGATCCAGTGATGCACAAGCGGAAACAGACTTAGTAGAGTTCCGCTTCTGTAAAATATTGAACAGTGTTTTCCTTACAATATATTATAGTGCCCAGAATTTGGTTGTACAAGCAGAACTGCAAGTGGGATACTACAAGTCTGACTGAGCACAAGCGGCTACCACGGCCTTTCCCCCCATGCCTTTCTGCTTCCACGAAAGCTCTAGTGCAGATGGAAATCTTGCACTGGATCCAACCCACTATCCCTGGTATTTCCTTCAGCTGGAATTTTCAGGAAGAACCTGTAAGCAGGAACCTGGCTCGGTATGAATGACGAATTCTTTCAGCATTAGATCTCTAGCGTGTGCTCCTCAGCTAGAATTAATTCCCAGAAGCACCTACGGGAGGCAAGCAGTGTAGCGAAATACAATGCCTGCTGCACTACATACAAGCATCACGTAAACACCAAAGGTCTAATCTAGCCCACCACGGGTGCCGGGTCCCCATGCATGCAGGAGGCCCCTTCCTCAATCTGCACTGAAAGTCACTCAGGATCCTGATTGGAGGGAAACACGGGGAAGCTGGAAAGGATTACGTGGCTGCTTCTTATCAAACAGCAGCATAATTAATGTTCCTTATCAAACAGCAGCACAAGCATCCATTGTGTGCTTTGCAGACAAGATGGTGATGAAAAGGCCATGGCATTCTCCCAGGGCCAGTTCCGCTTGCCCAATTCTGAGCCTATTTCAAGCACATGGAGAGAAGTGATAGAACATGTCCAGGGAAATGCTGATTGCCACTTTGGGGTCCGGAAGCAATTCTTCTCCAGGCCAGTTTGGCTGCAGATCCTGGAGGTTTTTTGTCATCTTCTGGGCAAGAAACAGAGGTCACTGGGGGGGTGGGAGGAGGTATTTGTGGATTTCCTGCCTTGTGCAGGGGGTTGGACTAGATGACCCTGGAGGTTCCTTCCAACTCTATGAGTCTATGGATGGTAGCCTTACTGCTTGTTCTGCTACGACTACTGCTGCTATGGTGATGGACCTGCTCTCCCCTCCTCCTCTTCCACTCACAGCCCTTTTAGGCTCCGGTGGAGAGGAGGGAGAAAGCAAAGGACACATGAACACTGGGGAGAGCCGCACAGAGTGTGGGAGTGAAGGGCAGGATGCCGGTCTCCCCGTGGACCAAAACACTACTTGTGGCTCTGCATGAATAAATGAGATGTAATCCATTGTACATTGCAAAAAAAAAAAAAATTAAAAGCATGCAAACTGGCCATGTGTTCTATAACTTTCTTCCTGGTGGAAAAAAAAAGCCAAAGTTGAAGCTGACTTGTAATGAGAAGGAAGCAGCTGGCTCTCACAAATGGACTGGCTTCTCAGCTTACAAAGATGCTATTAAATTGCTAGCAGGCCTCTCCGGCAGCCACTTCTGGCCGGCTTCCCCTCTCCCACCCAGCCACTTCACTTCAAACCTGCAAAGCATTGTGGGTTACTCACAGGTGTTCCAGGGCCTCCAAGCCTGAGAACGCCTCCTTGGCCACAGACTTGATCTTGTTTCCAAACAGAGTCCTGCAGTTTCCAAACACCCCGCACCAGATAAGCAGTGAAAGAAAAAGAAGGGGGGGGGGGAAACAGCAATGAAAAGACCCCAATTAGCGTGGCTGTATCTGATGAAACATCCCCAAGTAAGGCACTGGAAATACGACCTGTGGAGATTAAGGAAGCTGAAGTATGCATGCTTTCCCCCGTCCCCTGAAATTAAATACTTTTATCTTTATTAGAACTTAATGGTGATGATAACTTTACACAAGACATGCTGTACTGCATTAAGAAATGGAGGTTTGCTTTGGTTACCAGGGAAGGGGATTCAGTATATGGGTTGACCTTTGGTTATCAGAGAGAACACAATTTAAATGAGACTCTGGACCATCGCCTCAACACACTAAACTCCTGATCGTTTCCCAGTTGGTAAAAAATGGCTTGCCAATGATACAGACTCTGGAAGTTTCTAGATAATCCAGTAAGCAAATTTCCGGACCCCGTTATCACAGAAGGAACAAAATCCACTTGAGAACCTCCTGTAGAAACTGTTAATGTGTCTCTCTCTTCAGAAACTTCCAAATTTAAAATATATACACATATGCATTAAATTTACGTTTTATAGCAATGCCTGCTGCCTACCGCTATCCCTTGCATCCTGTGTTAGTCAAATCCATTGCAAACAAATTCACATTATTGTGCAAGAACACTATACTGCAATTAAGCATTTAATTTAAAAAATTCGGTAACTTTTTTGTCAGCTGAATATGAATTTTATGAAAGAACAAGAGTCCAGCGGCATCTTAAAGACAAACAAAATTTGTGGCAGGGTATGAGCTTTCATGAGTCACTGCGCCACAATTTTTGTTAGTCTTTAAAAAGTGCTACTGGATTCTCGCTCTTTTCCACTGCTACAGACAAACATGGCTACTCATCCTGATTCTGTCCCCATGGATTTTACAAGGTACAGAATTCTTCCAGTTTATATTCACTAAGTCGTTCATTATAAGAAGGTGAGAAATTACTTCCCCAAAGCACCTCCTTGAACACATGACAGAACCAAAATGGAAATCTGTACCTGATTTTTTTTTGGGGGGGGGGGGGGGGAGCCATTTTTCGTTTCAACAGTAAATGTGCAATTCCTTTCTGAGTCAACCTGAGTGAAAAGCCTTGGTATTGCCAAGTTCTAAAGTTCAGAATCGTATCTCCAAAATGGTAGGATTTCACAAGCCATGGCATGTATTTTTATGTACTTTTAAATAAAACATGTACTTTTAAATGAAACATGAAATACTGGAACAATATTACATTCCAAAATGAAGTACTGCACTCGTTTCTACCCTTCTGTTATATTAGATGAGTCTAGTTTGAACAGTCAGGAAAACAAAGAACCACAACTGGAAAATGCTGCCAAAATCTCTCTATTTTGCTGGTTTTTAACTGCTGGGGTCTAAGGGCCAGACTAGAAGATATACGTGACATGCATCAGGTTGGGAGGCCACAACCCAAATGGCAGTTGCACACATGACTCTGGGGAAATAGCAGCCCTCAGTGTTCCTGGACGTGAATCAGCTCAGGGATACCGGGCCGGGGGTGGGGAGAAGGAGGAAACTGGATTTATACCCCGTCCTTCACTCAGAACCTCAGAGCGGCTTACAATCTCCTTCTCTTCCTCTCCCCACAACAGATACCCTGTGAGGTATGTGGGGCTGAGAGAGCTCTGAGACAACTGTGGCTTGCCCAAGGCCACACCAGCAGCTGCATGTGGAGGAGTGGGGGAATCAAACCTCGTTCTCTAGATTAGAGTCTGCGCTCCTAACCACTACACCGAACTGACTCTCTGGTTTCAGCCTTCCCTCTTGTACTGTTTTCTAAGTCGATATGGTCACGGGGAGGCACTATTTATCTTGCTACAGAACTCCACCTGCAATGACAAGAGCAAGTGGAGTCTCACATTGGAACAAACAGGGCCCCTCCACTGGTGGCCATTTTGGCACAGAAAAAACAGCACAGGAGGGAAGGCTGAAGGCCCTTCCTCTCCTGTGCCATGCTCCTGGGCTGATTCAGGCCCCAGAGCACTTGGGAACGTTAGTTCCCAGAAGTCATGTGTGACTATGTTATGTTGGGGGCACCTGACACATGTCACGTATGTCTTCTGGTTTGGCAGGTTTTATCCTGTAGCTTTACCTTCTTTCAAGAGTTTTTTTCTCAACGTGATGTAACCTGCCCTGTTCCCTGACTGACAGAGAAAGCTAAACTTCTGGAATAAATTAATTCAGAAAGATGACATATGATGGCTCCTAGAATGCTACTGTCCATTTTCTTTTTTTTATAAATATTTTTATTGGATTTTCTTACCATTATTTTACACCGCTTAACAATCTCCAACGACATATTGATGTTAACCAAGATAAATATCACATTCACATTTTCCATCAACATAATATGTCAAACAATATATTGAATATTTAATATGTCTCACAATATCTATTTTAAGTTTTACACCAGCAGTGCATTTGTACTTCCATCTTAAATCTATTATTGCTAGCCTATCTCCCATTAATTTCTATCTTCTTTATCTTCAACCAGCTGTATATTTCTCCCCATTTTCCCCAATATTTTTCTTCCGGTCTATATTTTAATTCCATATTTACTCTGTCCATTTCCGCTATTTCCAGGATCTTATATTTTAATTCTTTAATTGAGGCTACTGTCCGTTTTCATACTACTACCATTTTCATTACACAGGAATGTTTCACTAACTCACTTCCATGAATAGCCACAAAAGTTAAGATTACAGCAGGCCAAGAAAATGTGAGAGTGGCTGGGTTGGAACGGCTCTCCACCGTGTGCCTCAATTACGGACTGGTGCAATGGGACTGGCAGTAAGGGCTGGGGTGGGACTTCTCATGCAAGTAAGAGAGGTTCACTGACAACGCACATAAAATCACCCTACACTAAGTCAAATCACTGGTTTAGCACATAATATGTTATCTACTCTGAATGGTAGTGACTCTCCAGTAGAGGTCTTTTATATCACCTACTACCTGATCCTTTCAGGTACCTTCTGTATTCAGGAACCTTCTGTATACAACGCAGATGTTTTACCACTGAGCCACTGCAAAGCTAGGGATGCATACTTTTTAAGGTAAGGTGCTCTCTTTTGCTAGTCTCATTCAGTAGACTAAAGATAATTATATTTGTAAGGGTCTAAAAAGATATAAGAAGCATTATGCAGATTAAGTAAAACTGCACATTTGGCAAAGCTCAGAAAACAAGAATATAACAGACATGAATGAGAACTTGTTTTACAAGATTGAGACCCCAATATATGCCATTTTTTAACAAATAAACCATTATTGAAAGCGGTTCTTACAGAAACAGAAAATGGCACAGAGTGTCAGTCAAACCAATGCAACTAACCAGAAACAGACTCTGCCTGTGTCTAGATCAGCAACGAGGTCTACCTACATAAAATGACGTGACATGTTTTGCAAAGTGCATTCATGACAAAGTAATTATGGTAATGTGGGAGACGCATATTTTGCCAGTTTTGAGAGCTGGGAATAGCTGCCGAAACAGATTATAACAGTAAAAAATTATCACAGGCGATTCCTTAAGTAACCCGCACGTGTAACCACTTCCACCAAGAACACACGGTGTGACTTTCAGATCTTCCTTTCCTGGAAACTTTTGTTCTCAGGCACACCCAATTAAACCTACTGAATCAGATGAGGAGTTGGCAAACTCATGTATTCTGCAGGAAACTGCACCTTGGCTGCATAAACCAACTATCCCGCATAAACCAACAAGGGCCTTGTCTAGGCTTGCGCCTCAGAGCTGTTTCTTGTTCTAATCCAAAACAGAAAACACTGAGGTAAATAATGTACAGTTTCTACAGTTCACATGTCTGTTTTCCAAGACAGATCTGTGTATTATATGTAATCGACTATTAAATTCACATATAATTTCAGAATTTTACCCAGAGGGTAAAAACAAATGCAGCAAGAAAGAAAACGGACCAGGAGGAGAAGAGCTCGTCGGAGCTTGAACTTCTGAAGTAGTGAAGCAGTGGGAGCTTGGCAAAGATGTTTGGGAATCCCTGGTCTAAATCATCATAGGTCAGGGTTCCACTGTTCGTTTTAATTCCACAGTTGCACTGTGATGAAGTTAGGTCATGTCTGCACTTTAAATCTAAAAATTGATTTAATTGTCAGTGTTTTCCTCAAAGGAACACTGGGAACCGTAGACTTGTGAGAATGGGAAATGTAGATCTGTGAGAAAGCCAACTTTCTGACAAGGGACTTCTTAGCACCTTGGCTGAGAATTTCCAGGAGCTCCTCCACTGGTGGTTCTACCATTATGGGCTGCACGGCAGAGTTCTGCCCCCTCCCCTCAAGTGTGGGAGGGAGAAATAAACTTGTCTTCAACTGTATTTCTTTAGTTCTCCAAACTAATTGTCAGATCAAATTCAAACCCAAAATGCAGCAGGGAGATGGTGCATATAGAATGAGCCGTGTGATTACTCAGCTGTACTTGTATTTCGTTGCAATGTAGTCAGAATAGTCCTTCCTGCATAGTAGGGCTGTTTTCTCAGTCTTCATGGCTACAGTCTCTTCTGTCTACTGGCTATTCCATCTTTCCTCTCTCCCCCACCCCTAAAAAGGCACACACAATACCTGATTCTTGGGGCTAAAGGAAAACAGACCCACTAAATGGCCTGCCCACTCATGCTGCCTAAGCAAAAAAAATGGCTCCCAATTTGTTTCTGGGCCTAATTCGAGATGCTGATATTTGACTTTTAAAGCCCTGAACAAACTTAGGTCTAGAATATCTTCAAGGCCGCCTATTCCCATATAATCTTACTCAGCCACTACAGTCATCTTCAGGTTGAATGCCCTCACCATCTGAGGCTAGACAGGTGGCAACCCGAGAAAGGGCCTTCTCCACAAAATTCCCTTTCAGGGTGGTTCATCTGTCCTCCAATTACAGTGGATGAAGATTTTTTGCTTCACTTGGCATTCCCGCACTGACCATCCATCCCATTTATGTGTTCTGTTTTTATACATGTATTTTAGAAGGTTGTTTTAATGCTCTTCGATTGTTCACTGCCTGGGGGACCCATTGTTTCAGTGGAAAAACAGTATAAAATGTTTTAAGTAAAATAAATATGTGATGGCGGATCAAAAAAGAAAAGGGGCTCCGTGACATCATGGGTTTCTCAGACTCCCCTTCCTCTTTATGAGTACAAATCGCATATTAGGTCTTCTCTCAGCTGGGCTGAGTTTTTGGACCTTGCTTCCTTATCCTGTGTTTCCAATCCCCAGCTCCACCTGGAGGAAATACACTGAGATCATTTTCCTTGCTGTGCGTGTGTTTCGGTTCATTCATCTGTTATTTAACTGAGTGTCTCGAGGGAAGAAGTATTATGTTGCACTGATTTTCACCTTTTTTGCGGGTGGTGGGGGAACCAAGCAGACCCTTTGAGCCTCTTGAGGAAGAGAGTTCCAAAAAGGTAAAAACAAAAAAAAAGGCTCTATTCTTTGTGCCAGCCACATATCTCAGCCCCTTGAATCAGGGCTCTATCCGATGACCACAGCACATGAGGAGCCTCCTGGGGTCGGTGTCCCTTAAGTTAGTTGGAATTACCTTTGAGAAAACAGTTCCTTAGATCCTGCTGCCCAGCTGTACAGAGACCTCTGTACTGAGAAGCAGATGGTGAAGCAATGTCAGGAAATTAGCTGAGATGCAAGGCAGCAGCTGCAATAACTTACACTATGTTTCAGAGATGTGCTACACTGTCAGTCCTCCCATCCCTTCCTCCCCTCATGTGTTTTGAAGACAGGCCAACAATATAGAATCCTCATCATAATAGTCTCGTAATTCTTTCACAGCGACAATGCTTTCCTTGACAGAAACTCTGTTCCAATGAGTAAACTACTAAACAAAAGCCAATGGCTTCCTTGAAAAAGAATTCTGGCGCTAGAGAAAAGATATGTCAGTGGTTCCATAAAGACAGCCTGTTTGCTCTCCTGGAAGACATAAACCTGATCCACCGTCAAAGGAAAACCAGTGGGAGCCCCAAGTTCACAACGGAGACTGCAGGACCATATAAGCGCACCTGCCCAATGTGCGTTTCCTTTCATTAGAGAGATGTCATTTCCCACTCCTCTCAAGCTTTGCACCTGCTGGAAAAGTTCCCCCATGTCTCCCCCACTTTTCTGCTCTAAATCAGGGCCTCATTTAAAACATGACGTGTGGGCGGGGGAGCACTTTCCCTGTAGAAGTCTGCACTTGCAAGGCATCTTGCTTAAACTGAGCTGCCACCCATGTAAAGCAGCTACGCAGGTGAATTCTTTTGCCTCACCAACATCACGTTTAAATCAAGCCTAAATGAGCTAGTGGGGAGGGGGGAGCAAAGAGAGTTAAATTTAATGGTCTGAATAATTAGGGGGTCAGGGGTGGGTTAGGGACTAGTATCTCTAGTGACTCCAGCCATGCTGAGTAGTGGGGGGTTTTTTTCCTCCTGATCCCTCGTTGGAAGCATTGTTTTAATTTAGGCCTGCTTTTGCCGGAGTGGAGAGCCTCATCTATAATTCAGAGAAGTCTAGTGGCTTGGCCTGGCCCCTTTCTCCCAGTTTAACACCTTCAATATGCTGAACAAGGCAATGCAGCCCTCACCGCTTGGCCCTTTCACAAGTTTATCCACAACAGATCAAAAAGGGAGCAGCTTTCAAAGCAATCTCCAAAGCGCTGAGGTAATTATTAATTCATTTGAAGGTTTCCTCCTAAGTGTCCGCTTCTCCTGCCCCTCCCCCCCCCACATACACACTTTATGCTAATGCATTTAAACGCCTGCTGTTTGACAGCTTAAACACAGGATCCCGGCTTGAGGAGAATCAATGTTTACCATATGGAGGTCAGTGTTTGTTTTTTTAAAAATGGCTTTTTAATGAAAGGTTGTAAAGTTGTGTGGGGTGAAAAAATGGCAATAATCAAAAAAATATGAACTAAAATAAACCGTGATCAAAATCACACGTGAGATGTGTGGGTATTTAACTACACCAGGTGCAGTTGTTGATTAAGCAGAATGAGCTTTCTGGTACAGACTTGATCTGAGCTCACCCCAGTAGTTGACACTTTGGTGCCCCACTTGCAAAATTTGGTGCCAATCTCTGCACTAAAGGGGGGGGGCAGGAGAGAAGGGGGATTAGTTGTTGTTCACTGACATGGCTATCTGTTTTTTCTCGGGGGAGAGGCAAGGGAGAGGAACTGCCTTCCTAGTAAGAAGATTCTGGAGCCTTGTGTGGTTGCTTAGCAACTTCTTGACAGAGGCCTAATGATTTCATAGTTGAAAGTCCATCCCAGCCCCTTGTAGGAGAGGCAAAATGGAGCAGGGGGTCAAAATGGCTGTACAGTATCAAGGGGTGCTACACTGAATTTTTCCTTCCAGCCCTGACCTAGGATGTGTGTGGAGTGAACTATTTCTTGCCAAGAGCTCCCACCTATGGGCTCCTCTGATAGGTTTCCTGTAACAGGAAGTGACTGCAGGGAGTGTGGTCAACAGTTGTGAGAGCTCCTTTATGAGTTGCCCCATGGTTTGTCATGTTCCCAAAATCCAGATGTCCTGCACTTGCCAATTCCTGCATTCTGCTTAACCCCTAGCTACTGCCTAATCTGCCAAAGTTTTCTTGCATTTTTGTCACCTGGCTTCAGCAAATTTCCCCTAGAGGCATGATCTCATCTTGTATAACCTCTTGCCTTACAATCATCTTGGTCCACCTTTTCAATGTGTCAGGTGGGTAGCCATGTTGGTCTCTAATGGAAGAGCAAGATTCCAGCCCAGTAGCATCTTGAAGACCAATGAGATTTCCAGGGTATAAGTTTTGAGAGTGAAAACTGCCTTCTTCTTGTATCTGCCAAAGGGAGTTTTGATTCTCAAAAGCTTATACCTTGGAAATCATGTCGGACTTTTAAGGTGTTACTGGACTTAACTCTTGCTCATCTTTGCAAAGATTCTGGAAACCAACTTCTACCATCTGCTTTTAACTAGACTATATAGAACTGTTCCTACAACTCCAGAACTAGAGACTCCAGCTATCAGGTATTTTACAGATCTGTTGCTATTTCAGCCCTTTGACTGGTAGCCATTATTTTCATTTTGGTTCAATCGTGGTTTAAAATCCTGAGTGTGAATGCATAAGAACAAACAGCTTTACCCAATTTAAATGTCACAACATGCTGGCATTTGCTACAAACCAGAAAGTCTTCAGTCTCTGCATCACACATGAGAGAATGGAGCACACAAACCGCAGTATTGGGGGAGTGGAGTTTCCATCACTAACTGAGATTTCTTTGTAATGTCTGAATACAACCTTAAGTGCTGTAAAATGGAACTAAGACAGCTGAAAAGAAAGGCCTGTGTTTGTTCTTACAATTCCCTAGCACAGATTTACTGGCTGGTTTTACAAAGGCATTTATTTCTCAGCCTTCAGAGTTCCCCTGCTGCAAAACAGTACAAATAGAAGCAAGGCATGTTTGCACTAGGAATTCTATGCCTGGGGCTCACCAACTGGTTTTGTAAAATTGAGTCTCTGTTATCCCCAGTATTTCCATGCTGCAAACAGAACAAATATCTTCTAACTGGTGCTTTGATTTAAAAAAGAGTTCTGAATGCCTGGTGCAGTTTTGGTCTGTGTATGTGCACACACACAATATTATTGAGATACATTATTTTCTAAACACACTCAGTTTCCTTTTTATCTCTACAAGAGGTTGCTTCACATAAGACTTTTGAACTGTCCCAAACTGTGAGAAACAAGTAAATAAGAGTTGCCTCCAAAAACATAAGATGCTGCATTACTGGTAAAAGGAGCATGTGAACATAAGTGATTCATAATAAACTTTCTGCAGTGCAGAAATCTCAGTCATGTTTACTGGCATTCATTGAACATGCTTCAGTATCATTTAATTATCAATTTGCTAAAACCTCAAATGGAGAATGCCTTTTTTGGTAACTAATTCATTATTTGAAATTTACAGGATAAGATATGCCTCTTTTTATACCTATCAAATACAATTTAAGCAAAATGACAATAGACGAACAGGCAGACTGATAGATAGATCAACCTGTATTTTTGATACTCACAGCTTGCTTAGGTTTTCCAGACCTGTAAAAGCCCCACTGGTGTCTTCTACTGTGCCTGAAATCTCATTATGGTTCAGGTCCCTGGAGAGAAGACAGAAGAAAGCTCACAATCAGTTTCCTGGTTTGCAAGCTCAACATTAAAAGATCCAAAGGGCGATCTTTAGGACAAGTTCATCAAAGGCCTCCTTAAAGCTTTTTTTTAAAAAAAAAAATCAGAAAGGGCCGATACTTTCGGGGAAATCAGAGGCAATTTACTCTCATTGACTTGAACTAGCCTCTTCCAGATTGTTTTCTCTCACGAAAGCTTCCAGAGTGATGCCTTTTTCCTATCTGATCCTTTAAAAGTTTGAAGTGGATTTTCTGTTTTTTCTCCCTTCCAGTGGCCAATCCATTCTCCCATTCTTGCTATTTCAGAGCAATGAAGGAATTAGGGGGAGGGGAGATGTATTCCAAATTAGACCAAAACTGGGAAGTGAAAAATTAAGCCACAATAGTTTTTCCCCCAAAGCACAAGGCTCACATTCCAGAAAATGCAGATGTGGCTGTTGGAAAGATCTGTGTGCGGTCAAAAGTCAACAAAATAATGTAATCAATACAATAGGTTATGGTGAAGCAGGGAGGGGGGAAGGGGAGGGAGAAGAGTCTTTAAATGAGAACAGGCTGAGAGGCCAGGGTCACAGCTCAGCAGGGGTACTGGTAGACTTTAATTTCTTTGAGTCGCATGTATCTGACTACTGACTCTGCGTGTGATACAGGTGCTGCTTTTTTAGCTCAGTGACATATCCTCCCCATTTTCTACATCTGCCATTAGGCAAAACTTCTGTCTTTCAAGGAGTTACAAAACCAAAGTTTACTGGTCTGTCTTCTTGGTGCTTGGCGGGGGGGGGGGGTCAACAGTGGGAGGACTTCTAATGTCCTGGCCCCACTGGTGGACCTCCTGATGGCACTGGTATTTCTGGTCACTGTATGACACAGAGTTTGGACTGGATGGGCCTTTGGCCTGATCCAACATTGGCGTCTCTTATGTTCTTATGGTCTCTAGTCAGGCTGTCCCACCCCACCCCCCCAAACCAGCTTCGGATGCTCTGAGAGAACGTACTGAGTATGTGAGAGTTCTGTAGCCACCTTTTTGTTAATTGTTCTTTACACTGTATCTTCCATAAAAGAAGAGGGAAAAGAGCATGACTTGTTGCTATGCTAGGTTTCCCCCCCCAAAGAAGCCAAAATGCCGTTTAAAACAATGGGGGGGGGGAGAGAGAGAGAAGACTTTCACACAGAAAAGTCTGGGGATTCAGCATTCTGGTCCAGCTTTCTTTGCATTCAGTTTGCTTTTCTCCCAGCCCCTGTTGCCAATTTCCTATTCTTTCTGGCTGGCTGGCCCTGAATGCCTACTGCCTTGTTAATCATTCTGCTGTGAGGTCCCCAGGCCTGACCTCTATTTGAATAGCTTCGCATTTCAGCACTTTCACACCCACCAAAGGCTCGCCAACAATAGGTCGTAATTAAAGCATGCCCAGCTCTTTTTCACCAGGTGCAGGACCCAATGGGCCTTGCTCTTGATTCAATTAGAGCTCGCTCTCCCACCCTTCCCCTCCTCTCCGGGCACAGGACACAAAAGAAGATCAGAATTAGCTGCAATCCAAACACCCTTCTGGGGTTTGGGAAAGTCCTGAGTCCTTTTTTCTGTGCCAGCTGCCTAGGAGAAGGGCCTTTCTCAAAGGGGCGCATGGGGATCGAAAGGTGGCTCTGGGAAAGGCTAGGGAACATAAAAGTGTTTCCTCTCTTCCTTCAATAAAAGGAATAAATGACTGCCCGGTGTGGTAACTAAGGAGGGAAGTTCAATTAAACTAAGCCTTAACAGGGTTAGGAAGAAAGGGAAGGGAAGAAACACTGAGTGTGTTTAACTGGCTCTTTTTTACTTATCCATCACATGATTTCTGGCCAGGATGCAAAAGCATTGCTGGAAAACTGGCACTACAGATTTTATGACACTGGAAGATTAATAATCGTGCATGCATAATCCTGAGGCATTAAAAGCCAAGATAAATTGTGGGAAAGAAGGAACAAGCCGTGTTACGAGTTCCCATACATCCCAACTGAAAACAAATGGCAGCATCAAGCCCAGTAGTAGAATACTGTCTGTAGAGTCATGATACTAAGTATGGGAAAAACCTGAACAGGACCCCATCTTGGCTGCACAGAAGGCAGCAGGAGAATCCTCAGCCACGCATACGTTGCAACAAAGGTCAGCCATGTTCATATATTTGGTTTTGTGTCTTAGGGAAGGAACAACCGCTTTTGCTTTCCTAAGGGCCCCCCCTCTGGCCATCCCAAAAGGGGGGGGGAATCCAAAACACATACAGAATTCGCAGGCTTTTCAGTCCCTTGAACGCTCCCTCGGCGATGTGGCTGATGGAGTTGTGGCTGAGGTGTAGGATCTGCAGCCCACCCAAGTCACCCAGGCTCCCTTCATCCAGCCGGGTTAGGTTGTTAAATGATAGCGACCTGAGAACAAAAAGAACAAAAAACCCAATTATAGTAGAGGGCAGTTTCATTCACACCCACTAACCGTTCTCTGTTGCCTCTCGGCATCTATATTCTGTCTAGAATGTCTATCAGTACAGTGCAGCGGTGAGCATGTGGAATTAGGATCCCAGGGACCCAGGTTCAAAATACCCTTGCTCTGCCATGGATGCATACCTTTGGCCAGTCACAATCTTTCAGCCTAACCCACCTCACAGGGTTGCTGTGAGGATAAAATGGAGCAGAGGACAACCATGTGCTGAGCTGCTTTAGTTCCCCACTGGGGAGAAAAGCGGAGTTCAAATCTCTAAATAAATGAACACAATAAATGAATAAATAAACATGCCCCATCCTTTTACTGTGCGAAAAGGAGGAGGAGGAGATTGGATTTATACAAACTCCTTTCCCTTCCCCTCCCCACAACAGACACCCTGTGAGGTAGGTGGGGCTGAGAGAACTCTGACAGAAACTGCTCTTTTTCAAGAACGGCTGTGCCAGAACTATGGCTTGCCCAAGGTCATCCAGCAGGTGCAAGTGGAGGAGTGGGGAATCAAACCCGGTTCTCCCAGATTAGAGTCCACGCACTTAACCACTACACCAAACTAAGGAGCACTCCTAAACAGGTCTAGTCAGAAGTAAGTTGCATGTTACTGAACAGTGCTTACTCCTAGGAAAGTAAACCTTAGGCGAATAAGAGAGGTGCATTTTACTTTGCTATTATATTTGTATCTCACACTCCAAGAAGCTCAGAATGGGATAGATGGGGTTTCTTTTCCAGAAAGTTTCCCTTCCAGCTTGTGGCTCAACCCAAATCAGGTTAACTGCAGAGACAGAATTGCTTGCAAACTAGCCTTGGGACCTCAGAGTGTACCAGAGTGAACACAGAAAATGAAATCAAGGTCTCTCAAGGCTCCACACAACAAAAGAGACAAACAGAAGCCTTCCCTGTCCAATGACTTGCCTCAGAAGTTCCCAGCGCCGGCAGCCAACCAGTGGGTTGGGGAACAACAGTCTCTATCATTGTATTGTGTGTGAGAGAATTTGTGAGCTAAACTGGCATTCTGCCATCTGGCCCACTCACAAGTGACAACAGGAGAGTCAAGGTAAATGCTGGACCTCCCCTAGCAACTGTCTGTGCTTCCCAGAAAAGCTTGCCTCACATTTTGAAAGCCTTTGAGCAACATCTTCTCACACAAAACAGACAGGAGAAAGGTTTTTTTTAAAAACGAAAGACTCCATATAATCTATGGGTAATATTAGAGGGTACAACAGAAGAAGCAATACATAATTTTTGTCCACATCCAGAGGTTTTTAGTTTTCTTATAGGTTTGGCTCTTGTGTTGCCTACCTTGAAACAACAAAAAATAATAATGTCTAGGTGCACAGGAAAAGTTAGCTGCTTAAGCCAAAGCCTAAGTTAAAACAGACGTATATTTTAAGTCCTAGAAGTGTCATTTCCTTGGCAAGCTGTCTTGCTTTTGGAAGTGTAAGCAAAGGGGATGGTGGTGCACCTAAGAGACCTCTGGAAGAAATTCAGAAGAGATTAATGGCTTTCAAGAAGCCATTGGACAACATACACTCATTCCTAAAGAGGCTGTACTGTTGAATTATGAAGAAATGGCAGCCAGTCAAAATTATTTCCTCACCTGCAATGAAAGAATTCCCCCCCACCAAAGCTGGAGAGAGAAAGCAATCCAGTGTAGTGCTGAATTTAACTGGGGGGGAGGGGGTGCCCTTGGATTTTCTAACAGAACTTTCACGAGCATGTTTTATTTCACATGATTTAGAGATAGTCAAGAAAGAAAAATTCCAGGATATCTTCCATTTTGGTGGCAACCAACCAGAAAACTCATCCCCTTTCCTAGTGCCTGTTCACCTACAAGCTGCTTCTGAAGCCAGGAGGCTGACCAAAACAATCCATTTTCCATCTAGAACTTGAAGGGATTTCTTTTCTCTGTGAGGGATTTGTGAAGGTTCCTGTTAAAATACAAGTTTGCAATACCCCAGTGGCAAGCTTGTGTTTGAAATCTCAGTTGTTTTCACATGAAAAACTAAAAAAAACCTTTTTGAACTTCACACATCCAGAGGTTAACCTCATATCAACTCACAATTCACATGGCAAAACAAAACACATAAATGAACCAAAAAAACCCCTCAACATTTCAAATCACTAGGAATATCTGTGGCCATTTACTAAGGGAGAGGCATTACATATGCTATTCTTTTTTAGGATAAAGACGGTGAGAAGAAACCACTACTGATACATCTATTCACAGACCAAGAGGAACAAGCATCCATGCCTCAATTTAACTAAATATCCATGTTTCTGTGGATTATCATTTGAATTTTTTATTTTATTCATCATCACCTGGAACACTAGTCATATTTGCAAACATTAAAAGAAAGGGGGAGAAGATTCAAGGCAGACCAAAAAGAGACTGAGTGTCATTTTTGAAAACAGCCTTTACTTTTGTTTGTGAAAGATTTCAAAGGCCTTTCTGTATCATCTGATGGCAATCTGTGAGCACAAAGAGCAGATGTTAACAAGCTGAGTTAATAATTAGGCCTGGAACTATTTGTTAGGTTAAGTAATTAGAAATCTTGATCAACTGAAAAGAAGAAGAACAGTTGGTTTTATACCCCACTCTTCACTACCCAAAGGAGCCTTGGAGCAGCTTACAATCGCCTTCTTGTCCTGCCCCCACAACAGACACCTTTAGGTTCCCTTAAAAGAGTTTCGAAATTATCTATCACTCTTTAACAAGAAGACTTACAAAAAAGTTGCTTTTTACAACCAACTGTATATCTTTTACATCTCTCAACAAGACTGGCCTTTCTGAGTATCTTGTCCTTCTCTAAAAAGAAAACACTAAGCAAACGGTCTTCCTAGGGTGGCCTTTGAGACTATAGAAATTGCAGATGGTCCAGGAAACCAGTGGCTAGCTTCTCAATGGTGATGGCCACTGGCATGTCTTTGTACCATGTAGGGACAGCAGATTTTACCTCTCAGCCTGGTTAACTTCATGCAAGCAGGCAATAAACTGGAGTATCTGATAGGGCAAGCCATTTCTTAACCTAGAACTTACAGGGATTATAGACGGTTCAGAGGGCATATTTCTGCATGTCCATCTTTCCTTTTTATTTTATAGTAAGGGGTATATTACACATTCCTGCCAATTAATATCTACTTGAAGTAGGTAACTCACAGCTCATGTAGCTTTTGGCAGAAGTTCCATCCATCAGGCCTGATACGGGATATCAAGTTGTTACTCAGATGAAATTGCTGAAGAGACGAGAGGCCATACAGGGAGCCACTATTAACTTCAGTCAGGATGTTATGTTCTAGATGCCTGAAGAGGTAACAAATTTTAGAATTCTGAGTGCACATACTGAACTGGTTGTTTTAAAACATACACACACAAACACACACATAATGCAATATGGTGTGATAGCTAGCTCAGACAGCTGTATAAAGGGTAGGTCTATCTATGGCTAGGAGCCGTGACAGCTAAACAGAACTTCCATGTACACCAGGGGTCCCCTCATGGGGTGCCTGTCAACACCTTTCCTGATTCCCACCAAGTATTTTTAGAAAGTGGGTGGGGCCAGGTACCCAGCAAGGCTTCTCACTCGCCACTGGAATTTTGACCGGCTGTGCAGATTTTTAAAATACTGCTTTGGCAGCAGCTGCCACCATACCACAAAGACCTTCACTATGTGAATGAAGGTAAGCTGAGGCAGCCATTTTGTGGCTGGCTCCACCTCCTGCGGCTGGCAGCCATTTTGTGGCTAGGCCCACCACACTGTGCTAGAATTCCAAAGGTGCCTGCAGGCTCAGAAAGGCTGGGGACCCCTGGTGTACACTATGTAGGGGAAGGCTGCTGCCTTCATGCCCAGAATTGTCTGACTGATAACTGACAAAATGTGGTACTAGATGGACTTTGGTCTAATCCTTCAAAGCAGTTTTTGTGCTCTTATTTTAGCACTATCAAGGGAAAGGACCCAGGTCTTATGGTGACCCTTCAGAACCATAACATCTGCTACTGTAATGATACAAAACACCGTTTAAGAGGCAAAATGAAAAGAAAGTGCTTCCGTATCACTAAAAAAACCCTCCCTCGAGACTGCCCCATTAAGACCACCACATCTCAATTTATATTAACTTCCCCAACTTCTAGACTAAACTGGGAGGCAGAGATCTTCCACTGCAGCATGTGGCACGGAAAGTGGCATGGAAAAGCTGCCCAATAGATATCTGCAGGATATGAACCAAAAAAGGAAACTGGCAGAGGCCTGCTTTCATCCTATCAGGAGAAAGATACTGTCCACCATCTTTCAACTTACAGAACTTGCATCCTGGCCAGACCCCAGAAGGCTCCATCTGTCAGCCTGCTGATGCTGTTGCGCTGCAGCTTCAGGACTTCTAAGCTGTCCAGTCCTTGAAATGTCAGGCCTTCAATCGAGCGAATGCGATTACGGTTTAACTCCCTAAAAATTACCAACAGCACAGAAAGGTGTTAAAACAGGCCTATCTTTTCTAATGCACCAGCAGAATAACACAGTCCAAACAGCCAGTCCTTGAATTCTTCCTCCAAGGATCCCCAACAGCTACCCGACAAAGTAATCCGGAGATGGCTGCTTCTTAAATAAATTCCACCTTGAGCAAACTTGACCACATGCAGAGATGAAGTGGAAACAGAACGGCAACTCTCAGCCATATTTCTGACAAGCTGCATACACAAAATGCATGGGACTGTGGTTTCATATGCACATGACACTTAATTTCTACAGTATCTTATCAAAACTCCTTAGAGTTCACACTCCCAAGAATTCAATGGTTTTATCTATTAATCCTGAATGAATATAAATATTTTCAGTCACAAAAGCGCCTGTTATTGCAAAAAGTTCTGGTATTCATGCTCTGGCTAAAGCACAGCTATTAACCCATAAATCTGTAAACAGTTACACTGAAATTTAAAATACCTGCAAAAATCACAAGAAAGAGTCAATCAGTGAATCTAGCCCTAAATGTGGAGAAATGACTTTGAGTTATTGATGGCACTGTCTGTGGACTGTTCTATAAGGTAGACAGTTGGGACTGTCAGTGTCTGCAAAGAAGGAGTAGGTAAGGTAGTATCTTGCTTCTACAGATACAGGGATATGCAAGCTTTTTGGCAGGGGTGAGTGGTGTGTGTGTGTGTTTGCGCAAGCCGCGAAGTCATGGTGACTTCTGGCGACCCCTAGTGGGGCTACGGCATTTCAGAGAGGTGGCTTGATAACCTGCCTCTGCATCCCGGACATGGTATTCCTTGGAGGTCGCCCTTCCAGGGTCGGCCCTGCTTAGCTTCCGAGATCTGACGAGATCGGGCTTGCCTGGGCTATCCAAGTCAGGGTGATATGCAAGCTTTTGTATTATACAGGGGATTCTGTTGGATGAAGAGTTTTATATCTTCAGAATTAGCAGATTCTTTTATGGGGAAGCACTGAGTTAACGTATTTTTCTTAGTTTGGACCTGTGTAGCATTTGAGCAAATCTGGCGGCAGTGGTGGAAAGTGTAATCGAGTCGCAGCCAACTTTTGGTGGCCTCGTAGGGTTTTCAAGGCAAGAGATGTTCAGTAGCTGTTTGCCATGGCCTGCCTTTGTGGAGCAACCCTGGACTTCCTTGGTGGACCACCCCATCCAAATGCTAACCAGGGCCAACCCTGCTTAGCTTCTGAGATCTGATGAGATCCAGCTAGGCTGGGCCATCTAGGCCAGGTTAAACAGATTTACTACTTATCAATATATTTTAACAAGATTTTATGTTTGGCTTTATTTTCCAACATGTAAAAATGTTTAAGAAAAAGGAGTCACATGAAAGCCTAATAAGAATTAAGCACCAAAATACTGCAGGCACTTTTGAAACATCTATAAAAGCAGTGTTGTTTAGGATCTGCAATAATATTTCTTCCATGAGTCCATGACAAAACAGTGCAAATTTGAATTTACTGTCTGAACGGATGACATACACTGAGGGAATTAAAAACAGATAAACAAACAGTTGCTTGACCAGTATTCTAGCGGTAATTTGATTTAAATTTCAAAGGAATTCCATAACCTCTACTGTGTCTGTTCATATAAATTGACTTTGCTTTTAAAAATGTACAACACTGATTGCGGAATGATACCAAATGCTTCATGATCTAATCTTCATGAGTCTGGTTCCAAACTCCTAGAGAGCAAATCCTTATTACCAAAGGTCAATTATTGACACATAAAGCACATTCACAGATGCAGGTGTATATTTATTATCAAATACACCCCATGCTATACTTTGGCTGAACAAACAACAGTGTGTACGTTAACTGATTGAAATCACCATTTTGACCGTCCAAATGTCAACTGTACACTTTAACAGCCTTTCCTTGTTGCCTGTTTTATTACTACTAAAAATTCATGTGTGGTCTTGACAACATGGCTCAGGAAAGGCCTGTGACCTGCTTCACTTTGCCTTGTGAAAAAAGGGGGGGGGGGAGGAAGAGACAATTAAAATAAATGTACATATGGACTTGAGAATCTATGTTTTGCTAGTTTGAGGCAACTAATACCCTAACAGTGACATTGTCTAAGTTCACTGAAGTCTAAGTTCACAGAACTTAGAATGGTGTCCGTCTGCTTAAGATGGCACTGTAATTAATATATTAAAGAATGCTCTCTCGGTCTCTCTTTTGTGCGTCTTGTTATGGGAATGATCTAACACTGTACAGGGCCACACCAAAAAAAAAAGTCTACTCCTAATTTGTTTTATTAGGTGTCACTATAGGGCCATTAAAATATAGTTTATTCAACATTTTATAGGCACAGTGTGAAGAAGGATTGCATTTGGTGAGCATGTCCTCAGGGAATGTTTGTCTCCATAAAGTTTGGTTAGCCATAATTAAAGTGCACATTTCTACTTACAGTTGCGTTAGCCTGGACAGCTTGAATGCCTTAGCAGGAAGCTGGGCAATCCTGTTTTTACTCAGGCGAAGCGTTAGCAGGGATCGTGACAGGCTATCAAAAGCCTTGGTCTCCAGGGTGCTGATTCGGTTGCTCCCCAGGTAGCTGCAATAATTCATCACAAGCTATTTAAACGGCTATGACAGAGGTCTCTGTTGTTCGCTTTTTATCAGAGTGGCTGGTGACATTAGACATATCACATGAAAAATATCATGTGTGTTTTTCCCCTCTTCAGATGAAATGAAGCCATTTTTTCCATTAGCACAATTTAGACAGCTGATGATAGGAGATCCCCTGGGGTCTCTCAGCACCTTTAATTTCCCAGAGGAATCAACAGCCCATACATTTAATTCCATATTTGATATGCAGAGTACAAAGAGCAAACCCACACCTGAAACAGCTCAGATCTCTGTGGCTTAACAGGTGGAATAGTTTAATTGGACCTGAGAGACAAGTACTTATATGTGTCCTCTCAAGGCACAGATCCACATATGTAAAATGGGAACGACAGCCACCTATTTCACAGAGATGTTGTGAGGAAGACTTTCCAGCATCTTTTTCCAAAATAATTTTGCTCTGAATTTCTGTCTCTGACCCATTCTGATATGTCAGCATGCCACAGTGAAAACATTTATGCACCATTCGCTATTTGATAGCGTTCAAACATATCGCATTACAAGCCAATGCTGCCTCTTTTTAAATTTCTTTGTATTTAAAAATAGATGATCAAAGCATTATTCAATGTTGCAGTATTTGTGTATGTAAAAGGGGAGAGGCCATCCCTCAGAGGTACAGCACATGACGGGCAGGCCTCACAACCAGTCCCTAGGATTAAAGATCTCAATCTTGGTCTTCACATGGAACAGGGTGATGTGGTAGAATTCTGAGGGGTTAAGGGTCAACTTTACCACCTGAAAATGGGGTGGGGAGTGGGGTGCCATTTTTTAATGTTCCGTGCAAATGAAAAACTAATGTATTAGAGGGGAAAGGTCCTATTCCAGATTGCATGCTCCTTGTCGTGCTGCCTAAGGGAAACTTTTTTCTATAAAGAAACATTCAAAATGATGATCCCCTTAACTCTTGGCTGAGATACGTTCTACAACCTCAGGGGCCTGTCACCTCATTATCGCCTCATTCGGCTGTATGTGGAGACCAGGCACTAGACAACCATGGCCTGTCAAAATCCAGAGCTAGATGGAGGACCAGTGGTCTGCTTTGGTGTGAAGCAGGTTCATGAATTCATTTTTTTTTTTTTAAGGCTAAGGGAAAGTATCTACAGATATATACCCTCAATATTGCCTCTTTGTTAACCATGCATTAGCTGTTTCTGGAAGGAATGAAAGAGAGCCACGGTACCTCCTCACACCACAAGTCTGCCCTCCAAGTTATAGCAATCAAGAATGAGTGAAACAAAAAGTTCAGAAGTGCAAGGCTTCTATGTGTTCCCTCTAAGCTGAGTTAGTGTGAGCAAGCTCAAAGTTTTTTAGACTCCGGCTCACACATTTTTGTCTTGGCTCAGGAAGGATGGTGCCAGAGCAAACTAATGTATGCAGCAGCCAAATCGATCACTCACAATTTTAATGCGGGGAGGGCGGGGTATAAATCTTAATAAATAAATAATAAATAAATAAATAAAATGCCAGTAGCTCACAAAGTAGAAGTTTTGCTCTCAAGACTCCACAGCTTAGAGGGAGCATTTCTATCCTGGAGTTGCTGTGCTCCCCTTCCTCTGTCACCCACACACACACACGTTGCACACCAGCTGTCCACTGAAAAGACTCAGAGGGTGAAGGGCAGGAGGGAACAGCAAGGTGTTTCTTCAATCTCTTGTCATAAGTAGTTTGATTGTTTATAAGCTGAGGATTTGCTAAAATATTCACGTAAAAGTGTAATGCCCAGCTGATTTATAAATTCTTAATTATAATGCCTGTAATTTTTTTTTTAACTGAAGAAAATTTGAAAATCTTTTTTATTAGATAAACTGAAACAGCGCCATTGGCTTAACAACAAAAACCAGATAACAAAAAATACTTACAGATCTTTTATACGAAGCCCCACTGGGAAACAGCCACTTCGGATTTCTGTGATGTTATTTGAGCTAAGGTCCAAAGTTTCCATGGCGACATAGGGCTCCAGTTCCCTTGCCTTGATGCTATGGATCCTATTGCGATTCCTACAAGGTAGAATGGAGAAGAATCAGACTCAATCCACTTTTAATATTCCTTCAGATAAAATAATACATTCCAGGAAAACAACAGCCTTAGCATAACTAATTTGGCTCCAGGCTGGCACGGAGTGCATTTCATGGAGAAGGAAAGCAAAGCTTAGAACTTTTTTTAAAAAATCGTGAAGTGTCACTTTTTATTAGGTCAATATAATCTGGGGGAGGTAAGCTTTCAGGAGCTACTGGCAGGCCCAGCTGTGGTGGTGGCAGAGCCTGGGAGCTGCCAGCAGTCCTGGCCATGTCAAAGCCTGGGAGCCAGTCCAAGTCCAGCAATGGCAGCAGCGGAGCCCAGGGGGCCCTCCAGGCTCAGAGCAGTTTCCAGACATCACCGCCACTGTAGCTGAGATCCAAGAGAGTCGTGCTGGATGGCAATGGGGATAGGGCCCCCATTTGTCTTTTTAGATTGTGACACAATCATGCATCAACCCATGAGGCCATACCATTGCTAAGTACAGACTAGGGGAGAAAGGGAAAATATAGAATATATCTTGTGGCAGACAAAAAAGATGCACGACTACTGCAAATATTCCTGGATGTTTCTATTATATAAAAGTATACATTACTCAGGAGTCAGTTACTAGAGTACTCCATGTATAGACACACAGAGACTGGAAGAGTACCCTAAGAAACAAAGGAAGGTAGCAAAAATGGCGGGACATTTGTTTGTCCCCTTCTATCACTGTCTTCTGCCAGCAAGAGGAGGCTTAATTGTTTTGCCTGGCGTTCCCCCAGTTACCTCCCCTACCTGCCCTATGTTTTGATTCTTGGCTTTGAGCTTTTATACATGTATTTTACTTTCACTTTTATGATATGTTTTAATGCTCTGTTTTTAATCGTCAGCCTCCTTTGTGGACCAGGGGGCAGAAAGGTGGAATATAAATTTTGTAAACAAATAAATAAAAGAAAAAAAACTATTGGGAACTTGGATAATGCAGGGTGACAAACCGTAATTCCAAATTCATCAACATATGGGGCATGTGTTTTCTTAGTCACTATCGGCCTTTGAAGAGGCTGAACATTTGTATCTTAATCTTACTATACCCATCGTATCCATTCTGAAGAAGTTGGCCCAAGAATGTAAGAAAGCAGGCCAACTTGCAAATCACACGAAAGTCTTACAGGCAGAAGTTTCATTTTAACATATAAGTTCCCACAAATCTACTTCAACAACACCAGGCCCCCCTCACATAAGACTGATGACCATTTTACTCAATATAGCAGACTAAACAACAGACGTGATGAAGATGGTTTCAAAGTCTGCAGTAGAACAGCTTGATTCAAGCCCAGTAGCGCCTCAGAGAACAACAAGATCTTCAGGGTGCGAGCTTTCAAGAGTCACACCAAGATGAAGTCTCCAAAACGTATCTATCAGACTGCTGGAGACTTTGCCGAAGGGCCAGTGCCAAATTTGCCTACAGCAAACGGTATTCTTTGTTCCACCACTTCATATTCCTTCAGGAAACACAAATCCAATCCTGAAACCTCTTTATGCACTCAAACCACAAAAAGGATCCCACGACTTCCACCTCTCTTTATTCCTTGATGAGAGACCGCGGGCCTAAAGGCAACTTCCTAATGAGGCGATAGTACAGTCACAAAGAACCCAGGCAGTATCTGTGACTTGATACTCTTACAAAGTGCAAAGCCCTCTCACAGGCTTCAGAGACACCCAGTGATGAAGCACCGGGCACTCCCCTCTCAAATATTTTTTTCCACCCCACCTAAAGGCATATCTTGCTTCAACAAGCAGGAAACATTATCAAACATTCCCACCTCCAATATGATAAATATTGCTTTTCTTCTTCTTTTTTTAAACCCATGATTCCTCATTATTCCATTTTGTAATGAGCACAAAGTACCTAATCAACAAAGAGAATGCAGGCTGCAATCCAGAGGCATGTACACACACACCCCACACTAAACATGTACCACATTTTTTCCCAAGTATTTTCCTCTCTCAGTTGCTGCCCTTTAAAACACCTACGCTCTTTTGAAACTCTACTGACGTATACTCTCTTGGCAACAGGTACATTAAAAAAGGCAGTTCCTCTACACTTGGGGTGGGGTGTAGCAGTATGTGATAGTGGTTAGAATGCTGGAGGATGCCTGGGAAGACCCAGGTTGAAACTGCCACTTTCTGTGAAACACGCTGGGAAAACCTTGAGCAATCCTCCTTTCTCAGCCTAACCAGTCTTACAGGGTTGTTGTGAGAGTAAAACAGAGCAAAGAGAAAGAACCACACACTCTCCTTGAAAGAAAGGCAGAACTGAAATGTTCTTTTAAAAGCTGATGGCTTGGATCCTGCTGAAGATTTCTTCATATGCACACATGCGCATACACCCGTTGTGGCCCCAAATGCCCCATAAAATGCTACTCCTGAGAGAAAAGGGATCCCCAGGAACAGCATGGTTGGGGGTGGGGCTGTGGCTCAGTGGTAAAACATCCGTTTGGTGTGCAGAAGGTCCCAGGTTCAATCCCTGGCATCTCCAGCTAAAGGACCAGGCAACAGGTGATATGAAAGAGCTCTGCCTGAGAACCTAGAGAGCCACTGCCAGGCTGAGTAGACAATACTGACCTTGATGGACAAATGTTCTGATTTAGTATAAGGCAGCATCATGTGTTCATGTGAGTCAGAGGTATGCAGTGAAAGGGACAAACCAATGAAAATACCCCTCCCCTTTCCATTACTGAAAATCTTCTATGGGATTCAACACAATACCTTCCCACACACAGATTCAGGCACTGGAAACAAATGTTCTCCCCAATGGAGCCCTTAACAAGTCTCAGACAGGACTGCAATTGGTCAACTAGCTCCCAAAGCATTTTAGGAACTGACACTTCTACAGCCACAATACAAATTGCCTGAATGTGCATCGCAGAGGCTTCCCAACCTGTCCACTGCCTGTGACTGGGCCCTCCGCTCTCATGTTAAAGCAAAAACCTTTTAACCAGTTAAGCACTAGTGAAATGGATGTTAATGGTCACCGTCCAAGTCATTACCTGCTTCCATAGCAGCCTTTTAAAATGCTCAACAAGTTGCCTGAATCATTGTCTAAATCATTTGTAGAAAACACAACTACACCAGATGAAAGGGTAGGGGATGTTATTGTTTGGGGGGGGGAGTAAGCTCTGTACCAATGCCAAGAACCCCCAGACCATCTACCTGTTCAGATGCAGGTGTACCAGCAACCACAAGTCAAGAAGGGGAGACCCCTGAAGGCCAGGTGGGGGAGGCTGTGCTTCAGCAGTAGGACACCCTTAGGGAGGGGCTAGAGATGTAAAATTTCCGAAAATTTTGAAGCTCGGAAAAAACCCCGGGTTTTTTCCTGTTTTTTTTCTGGGAAAAAACGGAAATTTACAAAAAAATTGAAAAAAATGCTACATTAGCATTTATTTTGTCTTTTCTAGATTGAAAGTCATTCTGTTACTTTAGGAACATAAAATATGACTACGGACATTTTTACTTGGCATGAAATTATCACAACTAGCATATTAAAAATATAGTGTATCCAAACAATTATTACAAACAGAATACTCACCCACATGCAAAAACAAAATTGAAACTTTTTTATTTTCTTCTGATAATCGCACCAAGAAATGAATCTTGTTCTTGCATTGGAGAGTTCAGTTTGTAACCTAGGACTTGCTTGTCCTCAGTGCACAGAAATTAGATCAATCTGATACCATATATATATATATATATATTAGAAATGATTTGGAAAATATTTGAACACCTTGTCTTAAAATATTTTATTCATCATGATAAAATAAAACGTTCCATAATCTTTTTTTTTCTTTTTTCAATTTTTCCAAATTTTTTTGGGGGGGAACGGTTTCCCCCCGAATTTTTCCGGTTTTTTTCCGGGCCTTCACATCTCTAGGAGGGGCCCATGGGTTAGTTGGCAGAGCATCTGCTTGATATGCAGAAAAGTCCCAGGTTCAATCTCTGATATCTCCAGTTAAAAAGGACATATGTGACGCAAAAGTCCTCAGCCTGAAACCCTGGAGAGCCACTGCCAATATGAACAGACAATACTGACCTTGATGGACCAGTAGTCTGATTCAGTAAAGCAACACCATGTGTTCATGTGCATGCAGAAGGTCCTAGGTAACAATCCTCAGCATCTTCAGCATGAAAAGACTGGGTAGGATGTAATGAGAAAGGCCTTGGCCAGTCGGAGCAGACAATGCTGATCTTGACAGATCAATGGCCTGCCACAGTATTAAATGCAGCTTTATGCGTCCGAACATACTGGGAATAAACTGAGGCCCAGCATCTCTGCCAGAGCTTCAGGGGCTCATCTCAGTCCCTTGGGTTGAGGAACAGCCCTGTCTGTCAAGCCAAATGGCCTGGCACGTTATAATGCACTGTGTTTGATGAAGGCTGCCTATGCCAATGCAACAGAAAATTTGAACTGCACATTTCAAACAAGGAAGAGGAGGAGGATATTGGATTTACATCCCACCCTTCACTCGGAGTCTCAGAGCGGCTTACAATCTCCTTCCCTTCCTCTCCCCGCAACAGATACCCTGTGAGGTAGGTGAGGCTGAGAGAGCTCTGAGAACTGTGACTGGCTCACAGTCACCCAGCTGACTGCATATGGAGGAGTAGGGAATCAAACCTGGTTCTCCCAGATTAGAGTCCGCTGCCCTTAACCACTACGCCAAACTGGCTCTATTAAGAAACAATAAAATAAACAGATGCGTGATGCAAGTTTAAAATCACAGTAAACAGTCACCTGCATTTCTGGCAGACCTTCAGAGCAATGAAATAGGTAATCTCTAAATAGCTGCTTTTGTAGCCAGCTGAGAACTTGCTAAATAATAAGAGGCAGTGGGCCAGGTTGGGTAGAACTCTGTAGCAAATAACATAGATAGGAAGACATTGAGGTCCCCACCTCAGCTAAACAACGGGTTCCAGCACTGGCCTAATCTGCACTGATGCTACT